TTGGGACTTGGTTAAGTTTGAATGATGATGTGGAATCTTAGAGTGAGTTGATGGGTTTTGTTGACTGCTGCACGTGATGTCTGGGCCGCAGTTGTGCCCAAGATCATGTGACTCTTACAACAATACCTGCCATTGCAAGGGCATGGTCAGACTCGTGGAAGTTTGGGAATGTTCCCTGGAATACATTCCGTAAGACTACATAGGAACATTCCTAACAAAGTCTCACACACTCCTGAGATGATGTGTGAGAACCTGTTATGATTATGTCAAATCTTGTTGCTATGATTCAATCAATGATGTACTGATTTGCCCTGACAAGATGCTGTGTTGCTGTGTGCCCTTACCGTGTGTGTTGCTGACTGACGTTGCTGACCAATCAATATACAATGATGTCAATGATATGTTTCTACTTTCAAGATTATGATAAGATTGTTTTGACTCCAAAGATCCTCCCTCTTCTTTACCAAAAAATCCTCCCAATCATCTTCATCTCTTTTTCTCTCATTGTTTTCTTTTGATTGTCTAAAAGTTGTGTCCTTTTTGATTAGTCCTAACAAACTCAATACTGCGCAACAACCTACTTCAAATATGAAGCTGAATCTAAATCAAACTTGAGCAATTTGCCAAAAGGAAGGAGGTATAATCATTTCTAATTCTGAACCTATAATTATAAATCATTAGTATTGGAGTTTCTCTTTATCTAATTTTAAATTCTATCAATGTAGACTACTTTTGGCTACTTTGTTTGGATTATCACTTGTGTTATAAAGTTGAATCTCTACCTGTGTAGTTTTTGTTAAGGTACTCAATGTCTCTCTTTTCTCTTTATCAAATGTTTTGTTCTATTTTACTTACTTAAATGTTAAATTTGTTAAGAAATTAAATATATACATTTGACCTAAATGAAGAGAGATCTCACAATTAAATACATGGTAGCGAGAGACTCCTTTTGGCAAATTATATTCTAATTCTTAACATTCCTAGTTTCTAGGACTGAATCAAAATGTCACAACTAAATTTCTCAACTAAATCAACCAAAAAAGCTGGTAATCTCAACCTAACTGTAGTGATATTGGTTTGCATCACTACTGTGGTTCAGGATTTACTATTATGGTTATTACTAGTGATACTTAATTACATATATATGTTATGTACATCATGAAGTATAATCATTCTAACTGTTGCCACTGAGTTACAAGGTGTAAATGATGCGTTGTTACACAATACATGTGGGTTTGAGTGCATGTGTATATGTAATTATGTGTTTTTATATGTTTTATTACATGCTACATATGTTTTGTAAGATGTATGTACATGTAATTAGTTTTATAAGTGTTGGTTATATATTACAAGTTAGTCTTTGGGTACATACATATGTACTCAGGGCTGACAATATGTCACAGGGCCATCTTGATGTCTAACACCAGGAGAAGGAGTCAAATGACCTTCCAAGGGGGCAACATGATAGAGTCAGTGCGGAAACACAGACGGCCTGTGTTGGGGTCCCCACACAGCGCCCATAAACCCCAGAGTGTGAGGTGCCATGGTAGAAGGCTCAGATTGGCTTGGACCATGAGGAATTGGATGCGGCTTGTGTAGTCCTACGCTGCTTGGATGCAACATCTGTCACTAATTTGAAACAAAGACCTTTCAGCTGTCTCTTTTTGTGAACTCCAACTCAAGTGACACCATAATCAAGAGGCAGTTAAACAAGCTTACCAAGTTTGCCCTGTTATGTGTACCTGGGATGGCCTTTGTCATGGGACTTACATAGCCGTTCCATGAGGCCCCTGAGGGTCCAGCCAATACCTAAAATGTGATAATTACCCAGTCAGCCAACATCCTAACATAAAATAACCTGACCATAAGGGTCATCTCCCCTAAAGATGAATGACATACCTGACTACTACTACTTGAAACCGGGTGGACCTGTGGCTGTGAAAAGTGCACGTTTGGGTGCCCAAGAACCTGGTTGTGAAAATAATTCCAAATAACATTAGAGAAGGAAGCACAACAACCGTGCCAAATAGAATTCAAGGAAATAAAGGGTGGGCTATTGTGTGATTGAATTTGTGGGATCCCAGGGCCAAGGTGAACACTTTGCGCTGGCCTCCACATGTGCTACATCTTGGGTCACAATAGGTGTACTTGTAGGAGTCATGTCCATTGGACGTGAGGCGGCTCCTCCAGGCTGCCAGAATTTATGATTAGGTAAAACCTGCAGGACACAGGAGCAAAGCCAAAGCCACACCCTTACTGGTCCAGTTAATCCTCACACCAAATTCAGGCCAGTTATTGATGACCAATTCTCCTGATTCAAATGAGGTGACATGGTTTTAATTTCTGTGTATGTTAAACAAGCTTTCAGTCAGTCTTAGTTCCTTGAAAGGGTATAAAGGAGAACTTGATATGCATGTTTGAGTATGAATATAACAGAATTTGTATATAGTTAGTGAGACTGAACGTCAGCGGGGGAAATCCATGTTTGCACCAACCAGTGAAAGAAAGGAAAACACACCAACAAGGATGGATATCAATTTTTATGACTTGAGAGGCAAAAGAACACCAGAGAACTATATGCATAGCGCATATATAACCAAATGGCACATTTCTTGACCTTTTCACAGAAAACCAGGTACAGCCAGTTCTGCAAGGATTCCTCCAAATCTATAACTTTGAGGCGTCATTTCACATCAAAAATCAGGCGCCAAGAGACCCAAATGGAGAGACATGCAACATAAAGCCCTCTTTGATTGGTAAAAGCTTGAAAATTCTTATGAGACCTCCTTTCCTGGTAAGAAAAATTCAATTTAGAAATACAAGTTTCTATTTTTTTTTAATTTTCCAGTTGTTTGCCTCTTTCAAAAGGCACACATTGTAAGATGTGTCCATGAGAAATGTGAGCGCGCTCTTTAAGAAGAAAGATTACCCAATAGAGGTAAATTACGGGAGCAAACAAACCACTTTGAGAAGCTAGGATCCCCAAATGGTTATAGATTAAAGGTCTAGAAACCTTTTACCAAAGAAGACACTAATACGTCACCGTTGAATTTAAACAGGTAGAAGACATTCAGTTTATATAACCTACAGCTCTCTCAAACCTTGGTTTGTTCCCTTGTCCGATTCCTTTACTAAATTTATTGCTACAATAATTCTTTCTCATTTCCGGGATTATCCAATCTTTATTGAATAACTATTTTTGAAATTTCCTTTTACATCAAAAAACGTTTTTAACAAAAAGAAAAAAAAATAATTTCCAGTCATATTTCCTTTAAAAAACTTAATATAACATACTTATACACATCCTTACACTCACATACATCAAGATTTCATCTAAAGTTTATCCGAATAAACAATCCCGTTATAATTCATAACAGAAACTCTTCTTCGAAACTATCATCCTCATTTCTACCTAATCCCTGATTGATTATCACAACTATGGCTAGCGCAGAATCAAGAGCCATTCACGCTAATTGAAGGGCAAACGGTATCGTATCCCACGCTACGAATACACAAATCCAGAATTCCTCTATCGACGGAGAAGACCTACCATCGGATGTCGAGGCAGACATAGGAGAAGACTCATTCTCAACTGGAGATCCGGGAGGAAGCGGGAAAATTAATCAAAATCTCAACCAATTGCTAGATATCCAACCTAACGACACAGCAGAAGATCAGCTTATCGATCAACACTGTAAACATCATTCAACTTCCCCAATTTGGAAGAGGAAAATGATTAATAGTACAGTTTTTCATAAAAGAATCTAATACTGCACACCTGAGCCATTTCACCCACACTACATATGCGCAGCAAGCTGAGTCAATAGTTGTCTATCATGTACATACAGGTCTGCTCAGTTTTTTGCCCATCAGAATAAATAAATCACATGTTATACCACATGTAACTTTTTCGACTTTGGAATTTTTTTCCCAAAAATTTACTACATATCATTCTGTAGCTGCTCAAGCAATATTGTTGAAGCTATGTCTTAGTAACAGAAAGTGTGTTACATGCAGTTGAGTTGATGAGATCACACCAAAACATTGAGTCAGTGTATGTAGTCAATCTTTTGGAAGCTTTTTTCAATCTGAAAGAAGTTACAGCATGTATTACATATGAAGAACTTATCCTGATGAGCAGATAACTGAGCAGAACTGTATGTACATGATAACCACATATTCACTGAGCCTGCTACACATATGTAGTGTGGGTGTTATGGTTCAGGTGTGGAGTGATAGACCATTTTATGACAAATCATACTCCCAATCATTTTTTCCTGCCCACTTGGGGAACCCGAATGATGTTTGCAGTGTCAAGGACTAATCAATATCTCAGACTCTGACAGCTCTGACTCTGACAGCTCCGAATCTGAGAATACCGACAGTGACAAGTCAGAAGGTGAAGATCCACGTAAAAGTCAAGCAATCACGGAATCAAGAGATACACCATCTAACGACTTCGCCAAATCTAGCGAAGGCAATAACTCCTTGTCAATCCCCTCTGATTCTGAAAGCGAAACAGATGATTTGGACTCATCAAGCTCGACAGACTCATCAGAGACATCTAGCTCAGATTCCTCATCCATATCCTCCGGCTCTGGTTCAGACACAGAATCTTTGAACATAAGCAACAGCTCATCCTCTTCTTCAGAAGAAGAAAAAGTAGATAAGCATAAGAAGAAGAAACGTAAGAGAAGTCCTCATTTCATAGTTTAATTTCGAAACATGAAACCTCATCTATCCTTAACTGCCAAAAGACCAATTCAATTTCCCCAAAAATAATTAATATATGATTCAGCTAGAGGACATGCTAGTGAAGAGGCCATAGCCCACACTTGAGCTCCCTCGCAATCTATTTCCCAAATATAAGTGCTCGAGAATCTCGCATATAAATAATTAAAATCTCCTTCATATATTCCAAATCCCTAGAAATAACATCGTATTCACACCAGATACGATTCATAACACCTGCTTTATTCACATACTCCCTCCCTTTCTTCATGACCATACCTCTAAAAGAGCAATTGCTGATTAGCAATACTGGTTGTCTACGGTTTGTCTACACAGGCACTGCAAAGAAACCGAAGAAACAGAAAAGAACAAAGACAAAGAAACAATTGAAAGGGAAGGATAAGGCTAAGAAGTCGAAAAGCAAGAAGGACAAGAAGAGAAAGAAGAAATCTTCAAAGAAATCTAAAAGTGTGACAGAAATTGACATTGGATCAGTCCCTACGGGAGACCTTATGACATTGCAGGTTAGCATTAAAATCCCTCATCACGATTTTGTTATTATATCAAAAATATCTAACATAAGATACTGCAAAGCCGTTTTGGGGAGACCAGATGTCAGATCTCCACACCTCCATTCCCCTAACAGTGTTCGATCAAAATTTTGCTAGGGCTGACAAAGATGAGCATAATCGTAACCACAACTCAACTTCCTCAAAGAACAAGACCAATAAAGGCCTTAACGCCCCATCAGAATACCGCCTAACCTTCGGTGAATGGTCAGAATGCATGAGTTTATTTAGACAATACCTGTCTAAATACTACGGACAGAAACCCCTTGCGAAACGTTTGCAACTTCACATCGAAAACGTCAAATCCATTAAACGTTCTACTGAGTGCTGGATGACGGCTTTAAGATACGACATCCTAGTTCGAGAACAAGTCTTTGTGAAACGAGACGGGAAGACTCGAATGAAGGACATAGGAACCCGGATGACCCAATACAAAAACCAGGCCAAAGATAAGTCACTCAGATTAGGAGAAGCCAACTGTAGAGATACGAACCCGTACGCCGGAGGCGGTCAATTTGAATCTCGTCACCCAGAAACAGGAGCCTTCATGTAAGCATATCAACAATATGTAGGGAAAATCATCATATGATCCTAAAATTATCCTGCACCCTGCCTGTAGTCATCATAAACCTCAGCAACCATCTGGCATCAGAAGCCATAGCAGGCCTAACCAGGAAAGCCAACCCCTCAAACGCAAAAGAGGTAAACGCAGAGGACATAACACACCTCATCAACCAATGGGACCTAGACCAACAAACGGTCAGCAATCCCAACATGCGACTCACCACCCACTCCCTCCAAACCCTACCTTGTATCAAAATCAACTTCCCCTCCCAGCAGCAGCACCAATGGCGAACAACCGTTTCCCTAACAGAGGAAGTAGAGGTGGATGGAGAGGAGGTAGAGGTGGATATCATAACCAGCGAAATGAGGGGTAAGCGGAATATAAGATCCCATCAGCTAGACACCCCCTTTTTCTTTTTCCCGTTTCCTTTCCTTCAACTTATCCCTGTACGTAGACGATGATATTCTTACAATGTCCTAGTTCAATTAATTTCACAATCTACCAAGCATAATCAATAACTTAGCAATAAATCAATTTTCAAATCTCCTTTAGCATATTTTCCCCTACAATCTCCCTACATTTATAATCTTTCTTTGTACAGTCACGTACAGACCTGTCTTTATTATCATTCCTACCTTTACTCAGTAAGTATTTGAAATAAAATATTTGTGTTTATACTTGAAACTTACGCACCACTGAAAATTGCCCCCAGTTCGCTCAGGGTCCAAGAAACAATGATAAGTAACAAGCCAAATACACCTCTAGCAGGCCCAAGCTCCCCACCAGAGGGAAGAACAACCATTTGTCCGAAAGGAGTCAAATGCGACATGAAGATTAACACCTGGCGCAAAGCACTAGAGAAACATCACCTCTTACCACGATTACAGTTTATCATTGACAGCTTTCGAGAAGGTTTTGACCAAGGAATCCCAGAACACTCCATAGAAGGACTCCCGTTTTTCTGCCCTCCCAACCATCAATCAGACCTCTCTGCAAGGGAGGAAATCAAGAAGAATCTAAAACAAGAAGTAAAAGCTGGACGCATGTACGGCCCTTATACGAAAGACGAGATGGCAACCAGATACAAATTCTTTAGATCAAGCCCCCTAGGAGCCGTCGTAAATGGCGACGGCTCCTTCCGCCCAATAAATGATCTATCCTTTCCTAAACGTGATCCGAACATTCCAAGCGTTAACTCATTTGTTAACAAAGACGACTTTAAGACAACTTGGGATAATTTCGAAAGAGTAGCTATACACATAGCAAACGCATCAGTTCCTCTAAAAATCGCCCTCTTCGATTGGCTTAAAGCCTATAGGCAAATCGGGACACACCCAAACCAATGGCCGTTTTTACTGATACAAGATTTTGACGGCTTCCTGTACATTGACTTATGTATATCTTTCGGAGGAGTAGCGGGGTGTGGCAGCTTCGGCAGTCCAGCTGATGCGTGGAAAGAGCTCGTAGAGCTAGAGTTTGGTCTTTACAAGGTTTTCAGATGGGTCGATGACAACTTGGTCATCAAAGAGGCATCTCACCAGCTAAGCATGGACAAAATAGTTACATACAGTACGAGCTTAGGCGTAAAGACAAATGAAACCAAGTTCACCCATTTCAGTGACGAACAGAAATACATTGGCTTCCTATGGAATGTCCAAAAGAAAACCGTATGCTTACCTCCCAAAAAGCTTGCCGAACGACAACTACAGCTCGACACCTTTCTAGCAAAAGTAGATTACACCTTCAAAGAGGTTGAGAAGATGTATGGCCGCTTAAGCCACGTTTCCTACATTGCACCACAACTCCGCTGCTACCTACGATCCGGTTTTCAGATGGAAGTGCGAATGGGTCAAGACAGAGGCGAAAAGAAAGATGCCACAACAAGTCAGGATCGACTTAGATGTCTGGAAGAAAGCCCTGAACGCCTTCCCAAATAAGTTGCTGTTAAAGACAAGAGAGGTAAATAACATCGGGTGGGTGGGTGATGCTTCTACATCTTTTGGTATAGGAGTAATAGTCGGGAAAGCGTGGGCACAATTCAAACTGTGCCCAGGTTGGGATCGACCAGGAGGAAAACCAACCCAAGGCATCGCATGGTTAGAGACAGTTACCATACGACTAGGCCTGCTCATGGTACAAAAGATACGGCCACTCGAAGGAGAAAGGTTTTTGGTATTGACCGACAACACAACCACTGAGGGTGTCCTGCGGAACAAATCATCTCGGGACTTTTGGGTCAGTGAAGAGTGGAAGAACATTTCCACACTCCTCTTTCAGAACGATTGCCAATTGGAACAGCGGCACGTTTCCACCTTGGACAACGCAGCCGACCAACTTTCTCGCGGCCTGACAACATCCAAACCCTGGTACCTAAGAATCCACGTCACTGTCCCAGATGATTTGAAACAGTGGCTGGTCGACGTAGAGTCTCCCACAGAAGTGGAGTCACCAAGAGTGAGTCACATCTACAGACCCACCAGAGAGCTATGCCGCTCACTTTTCACCTTCTTAACACAGCTAACCCTCCTTTGCAAAACCACTGCTCAACATCCGCTTAGTTCTAGGTAGACCATCAGGCAGAGAATCCACTACCCCCTCCATCCATAAAAGCCGTTTTCAACTCCAAAGGCCCTTGCAGCCCCTCTCCCACGTATTACTTCCCCCTTTTCTTGTCCTTTTACGACCTCAACAACTCTCCCCTTTCCTTTTTCCAACCATAGTCAATAATATTCCCCCAATCCTCACTTGAGGCGACATACCTGTTTTGAACATCGACAGTTCTAGCCCAAATTATCTCCATCTACACCTTCCTTACGTGTAAGCCTCCCCAGCACTTACCAAGAAATCATCTTCAGAGAACTGACCCCCGCGCAATACATGCCTTACCAATATCGTAGAATTCTATACCAGTGATGAAGTGTATCAAGTCCTTCCTGCGAATCAAGGACAATGTCCGAAAACCACTGACTAGAGCTCAGCGACACATGATCAGAGCCGGATGGTGCAGATCGACCATAGAAGCTTACTCGTCAGGAGTCAAGAAGTTTAAACTCTTCGCGGCTCTCAAACGACGCGACGCCTTCCCAGCATCCTGCGACACCGTCGAATGGTTTATTGTCTGGGCAGGACACAACGTGAACCGGCAGGCAACCAACAAACCGGTTAAGGTCACCACCATCACCAAGTACCTAACCGCACTACGAACGTGGCACGCGTTCCACGGTTATAATTTCCCAAATATTCACCTCACTCGTTTGAAAACCTTACTCAGAGCATCGAAAAAACTAGAGATTAGAGCACCTGTGCACAAAGCCAATCGCCAACCGGTCACCCCAAAAGCCCTCCTATCCCTCGTGGCCGACATTGCAGAGCGTGAAGCTGACTCCAAGGGTCTAACAGCCTTAGTCCTTGTAGCCTACTGGGGACTAGGTCGTTTGGGAGAACTGGTCTACAAGTCCGCCAAGTACGATAGGCATGACCACAAAGCTATACTGAAGTCAGATGTCAAGTTCTATGTCAAGAACAACAAGGATTTCGCCGAAATCAGGCTACGAGAAGCAAAAACCGCTGCATCCGGGGAGATTCAATTGCTAGTCCTACGAGCTACTGGAGGGGTACTGTGCCCGGTCGACGCCTTAAAGCGCTTAATGGCAGGTTTAGGAACGGTGAAGGACCCCCGTTTATTCATGACACATGAAGAAGGAAGAGCTACTGCTATAACAAGAGAGCTTATGAAGAAGGTTATGATCCGCACATGGGGGAAAACTTCAAGCTTGACAGGTCACTCTGTTAGAATAGGGGGAGCGACTTTATTAACTAAGTCAGGTGTTCCCCTCGACGCCATCAAGAAACTGGGACGTTGGAAGTCGGCTTGCCATGCACTCTACCAACGAGAATGGGATGACAAGGAATGGAACGCGGCTGTCCGAATCTTACAGATCACTGAAGATGTCATTCCACATTATGCCTAGTAGCACATCCTATCTGGTACCTCCTGTTCGTTTTGTCCTTTTTTCTTTCCTTCAGTCGTCGTGTACCTCCCCTCTACTCCCCCACTGCCTGCCGACATGAAGCGCATCCACTTGTAAGCTGCGCCGGTTGATGTTCCACGTATCTTGACCACCCAGTAATACATCACACCCACATTTGTCGAAGATTTTAATCAGATGTGACCCACTTCCCGGACACTACGTGTGGGCGACAGGAAAGGGCGAAGCCTATCTAGGCTCAGGCCTGCCACCCGTGAGAATGGGATATCTAGGCATCTCACCTTTCCCTAGGAAACTTACTCAAACAACCCGGTAGAGAACTCCAATCAGAAGTACTCTACAGGTTTACATTTCCTCGAAAAGAGAGTTCTTGACGAACGCTCAACGAGTGAAAACATAAGCCGGGGGTAGAGTTTCCACCTTACGAGGTGAACTCTCCACCATGTCATTGAGTACAAATTCCAGGTTTCAAGGAAGTAAAAGAACTCTCCTTGAAACCTACCGCCCACATTAGATCCTTCCCTCACTTAGTACAAAAAAAAACTAAGCAAGGGGAGGATCAGGTCTATTTGATTAAATAGAGTGTTTTCAATTAAGAATGGATTGCCTCTTTCAAAAGGCACGCATTGTAAGATGTGTCCATGAGAAATGTGAGCGCGCTCTTTAAGAAGAAAGATTACCCGATAGAGGTAAATTACGGGAGCGAACAAACCACTTTGAGAAGCTAGGATCCCCAAATGGTTATAGATTAAAGGTCTAGAAACCTTTTACCAAAGAAGACACTGATATGTCACCGTCGAATTTAAACAGGTAGAAGATATTTAGTTTATATAACCTACAGCTCTCTCAAACCTTGGTTTGTTCCCTCGTCCGATTCCTTTACTAAATTTATTGCTACAATAATTCTTTCTCATTTCCGGGATTATCCAATCTTTATTGAATAACTATTTTCGACCGACCCTCCCTCCCAACATTCTGAATATTTAACAACATAGACGCCTACTCAAACGACCCGGTAGAGAACTCCAATCAGAAGTACTCTACAGGTTTACATTTCCTCGAAAAGAGAGTTCTCGACGAACGCTCCACGAGTGAAAACATAAGCCAGGGGTAGAGTTTCCACCTTACGAGGTGAACTCTCCACCATGTCATTGAGTACAAATTCCAGCTTTCAAGGAAGTAAAAGAACTCTCCTTGAAACCTACCGCCCACATTAGATCCTTCCCTCACTTAGTACAAAAAAAAAAAAACTAAGCAAGGGGAGGATCAGGTCTATTTGATTAAATAGAGTGTTTTCAATTAAGAATGGATACAAGCATGCAAGATCAAGTAAAGATGTACAACAACCTTGGTTTTGAGAGGTGTGGGTGATGATTATTCTCACCCAAACCTTGTGAGGCTTGACAAGAAGAACCTGTTCTGATAGTCAATCAGACTGTGCAAGATGTTTCAAAGTCCAAATTAACTACTATATGAGACGTAAAACACAAAAAAAAGGTGGGATACAAGCCACATATTGTACACTTGTAATAAAAAAAAATGGGAAATTGTGCCTGGTCTCTAATTAATGAGTGCTTTGAATCCAAATCATCTGTATTCACCTTATGATAGGGACTTTTCATCTGGCATCTGATCTATATTGCTGAATTTAAAAAACAGAAATGATTTTATCGACTTTTTCCATATTTTTTGTGTTTGGAACAGAACAATGGAAATATTGTTTTGAAGTTTTCTGGAGGTGATTGGGTCATTCATTTTAGCTCCAATAGATTGATGTAAATCTTGATAGTCTGTGTAGTTGTAAGAATGAATCAATGAAAGTGATTTAACCAGGTGAATTTTTAACTTTGATAGGTCAAACTCAGTTCTTCAATTGTGATTTAGCTACATTGATGTCTGTTGATTGAATTGATTTCTTTAATTTTTCAGGGACCTTGATGTCAGATGATTAACACAAATCCAGTGCCTCTGCCTCAGTGGGCCTGGGGGCCATATTTTCATGTATAAGCTCCATAACCATCTGGGCAATACCTTGTCCTCAAGCTCCAGATCTATTTAAGGCTTGCATCACAAGACCTTATGAGGCGGATTCTCTGCTCTCAGACTCAGTTGGGGACCCCTCCTTTTCATAATTTGTGGGAGAAGTTGAGCAGAGCTTGTTTTGATCACCTAGCAAATACCTCAAAGCCAACAGGCCGGCTGATGCTTGATCTCCAATAACTGGCTTGAGTCCTCATACCATTGACATATACATAGCATTCTCACTGTCTCAAGCATACATAAACTTGAGTTAAAATAAATTGTATTGCCACAAGATCCTGCAAGTACCCTTTGGACTATCTGTATCATTGTTTTGCTTACCACCCCTTGCCTCTTAGCCATTTCAAATGCCTCAATACTGTCCTCTGGGACTGCAAACTCAATGTTGTCAGATAGATCACCAGGTTTCTCTCCCCAGTGATGTTTCTCAACTTATCAGCCAATTTGAACCACTTTTCAATCAAGTTGAGCAACATATCAAGATGCTAAAATAAAGAACAAACCATTTTTTGTATGTAGTGTAAATACTTAAAAAAGACACTTCTTTTTTTTTGACTTGATCTGTTTCCATACCTCTTATTTGCAAGAAATGCTGTCACATTCACCATGTCCGTGTGGTGTTTGCTTGTTGACAAGCCCACACAAGTTGCCTTTGTGCCTCAAAGGCAGTCTGTGTGCGCTTTTTGTCAGGCAACTGCCACAAGGACACGGTGTTTCTTGTAATTCACTATCTATCTGATTTCTGGTGTACCACTTCAGGTATCAAAGTTCTTGTATACATTGTACCATTCAGTAATAATCACCTTGCCTGACTTGCAATTGATCTCTTTGAGGTGTAAGTCAACATCTTGAACAAGGTGTTGATGTCTGTCTCTTTGTTCTTCACTTGTCATTATTTTTAGTTTCACTTTCAGTTTTCACAACCATAAAAAGGTTGATATGGATAAATAAAATTTGATTCTTGGGAAGCTTTTTTTCCCTTCAAGGCTATCCTTGTTGCTTCTTAGGGGGGTGAGGATCAGTCATGAGGTGCATAGGCTGGTTGGTTGGTTGTGAAACAATGAGAGAAGATGCAACTGGATTGATTTTGGCATGGCACACCCTGGCACATCACTACGGAAAGGGTTGGGACTGGAAAAGGTGTCAAGGATAAAGCTGTGTGAGTTCTGGCCCTGTTTGCTCCAATAGCCATCAAAGGTGTAAGTACCAAGTTGGCTGGAGTTGGTGCAGACATGATTTGGATGTATTGTGAGGAGGAGATATTTGGATCCATAGAACTATTTTTTACATGGGTGATCAGATCTATTCAATCTCTACCCAATTTAAAAAACCTGTGCAAGAAATATCACAGTCCAAATGGCTTCAATTTGGGACAGGTTTTTTGATGCGAGTTTAAAATTTGAGTTATGAATGTTTATGTACCCTTACTACTTCAAAACAAAACCAAAAAGCCTTCCAACCATCAACTCACCATACTTGACTCTAATGATCAATTTGATTCTTCTTCTTTTAATCATCATTCATTCTCTAAATAAATTCATTAAAACAACACAAAATGAGAATACATACAACCATACATACTTGGACAAAAAAACCAAATCACTCAAACCAAAATGAAATCCATTCACACAACTTGAACTACCATTAAAAATGCCCATTAGAACCTTCAACCAAAAAAAAATAAGAAATAAAAAAGAAGTCTATAAATAGATCATCAAATATGTACAACACCAAACAAAAACAGTGATAAGATTGATATATATAGATAGATAGATAGATAGATGTATAAAAAATAAAAAGAGATATAGAGTGAGAAAAAAATTAAAGCTTAAGAATGCAGTTGGTAAGAATCAACTTAAAAGAAATTGTATCAATCACACACTTTGGAATGGGTGGTAATCGAACTTCAAACAAAGGAAACAAAGAATTCTTCACATCAACACAAAGATGATCAAAAGTTAAATTGCAATTAATTAATTGATTGATTGATGAAAAAGATTTCTAAACCCGACCATTAGTAGATTTAGATCTTCTTAATGAATGAGGTTCAGATCTTTTCTCTTTCTCCTTTTGTTTCTCTTTAGATTTCAATTTAACTTTTTCTTCTTCATTGATATTAGTGGTGGTGTTTGAAGTAGTAGGATCGAAATTTTCATGTCTAAAAGATTGATCAGATTGGTTTGATTGATTTGATTCGTTTCGTTTCAAAGGAGTCGGTCTAGAATACTTAGGAATCGAATCAGAAGCTGAACGTTCATTAAACTTTGATTTATATTCTTCTGTTGAATTGGCTTCTTCTTCATAAGAAGCACCAGAAGAAGCACCCCCAGAACCCCACATCGTAGCTCTTTCACCACACTCTAGTACAGCTACTGTAGCTTCTAACAAACCTGCTACACCTCTAGGTAAGATCCCTGAATTCCGATTGGCTTGAACTCTTCTTTTCCTTGGTTGATCTTCATTCTGTTCATCCTTCAACCCTTCTTCTTCTCCTCCTTCTTCCGAATCTTTTTCTCTCATCACTTGATCAATCCTCATCGGTATACTCAAAGTTACTCTTGCTAATGCTAAACTTAATCTAACTCTTCCTAAGACATTTAAATAACTTAAACTACGTAAACTCGATTGGATCTCATATAATTTGATTAATTCAAATCGAATCACTTTCATATATTTTTGTCCGGTTAATAAGATCGTTCGTAGTTTTTTAAAACTCGTTTCTAGGTTATTGATAGCTTCTTCTCCTAAATTCAAACCCGGATTTCCTTCATTCAATGCATCTTAATATGATCAATCAAACCCCAAAAAGACAAAATCAGATTAGGTTTATTCTCTCGAGCGAGATTTTGAGAGATTAATGAATATAAGGAGAGGAAAACGTACTGATTAAAACTCTAATCATTTCAAAATCACCATCCATAAATTCACAAAAAGTAGAATGTAAAACACTATTTAAAGTTTCATCACCACTACTAGTTTGATTTGGATTAGATCCATTCGCATTCCCTCTATAAGCTTTATACCTTTCAGATCTAAAGAAAAGAAAATAGTTCAAAGCATCAGAAATTCTAGAAACTGGATCGAAAGATGAGATAAGAAATGAACAAACGATTGATTAAAAGAAGTATGACCATTCAAATCATATAATCTTCTACTAGAAGGTTTAGACAACGTTTCATAAGCAAAACTTAATTTTTGAAATGCAGAAGTACAAGGCTTATAAAGCGGTAATTTACTACCAAAATCGAATCCGATCAGTTCAACTCTCCCAAAAAAGATAAAAGAAGGTAAAGAAGAGAAATGACTTACTCAGGATGACATAATCTAGATCTGGTGATGTATGCTTTACGGATATCTTCAAATTTGATTTGATAACGATTATAGAAATTGTATTGATGAAAGCCTAGTACGAAATAAAGGTCTTCATCATGATTGATTTGATCTACTAAATCGTATCCAGGTCCTCTTTCACCATTCGATCTGAATCTAGAAAACGAAGGATGATGATGATGATGATGTGAAGTCGAAGTACTTCGATTTGAAGTAGATGTAGAAGATGAAGTAGGTTTACGTTGAGATGATTGACTGGTTGATCTTCGATAATGATCTTCTGGATTTAGACTTGAGTTTGGGTTAGGAGTGGAATGAGTTTTATGATGAAATGATGATCTGGATTGTTTTTTCGTTTTGGATTTCTTTAGTCCTGATGAAGATAAATGAGAAGTAGATGAAGTGGATGAGTTTGGTAGAGGTGTTGGACCGTAAACTAAACTAGAAGCTGTTTTTAAAGATAAGATTAAGATGAATGATAGGTTATTTGAAAGTGATGGATTGATCGATCGATTGATTGACTTACCTGTGTTTAACACATATGAAGCTACTCCAAACATCTTTTCAGATTTTCAAAATAAGTTGAAGTTGAAGAGTTGAATAAAGAGAAAAGGTGTGTTTGATTTGTAAATTTTTTAAAATTCTTCAAGTTGAGAATGTTTTGGTTTTTGAAGGGTGTTGTTTTGGGATAAGGTAAAGAAACCAACCGGAAAAGAGTAGAATTTAATGATCATTTATTTCAACAGATCTGTAGAGTTTCAAAGTTTAAATTTAACCTAAAATTGTATTCAATTTGATTCATTTGATCGAATCTCTCTCACCACAGCACTTCAGAGCGGTTATCTGAATTCACTGATTTCGTCATACACCAAAAAAAACCATAACTCTTGTAAAATCTAGATTCTACAACTTTCTATCCTTAGAGCATCGCCACCAGCGACCCTGGACTGTCAATTCACGTAACGTGTATTTGACATGTCCAGGTCAGAATTCAGATTTCACGATCCACCAGTGAAATAAACTCCCACCGTAGGGCAGCTGTCCGAGTTTTTTCGACATCAGCACCAGGTCTCTCGGTCTTGACCCTCAGGTTCTTCGGGGGCGTCTCAAAAGCTTGTGTTACACGATTTGAGCAACCGTGTAACTAATTTTGCCCCATTCGATACATTGTTTTCTATTAAAATAACTTTATCATTGTTGTGGCAGTGGTAATACGATAAATACCTTCCACAATGATATGTCAATTATTCATCTTGAAGCCAAATGTGAGCATTGACTGGGAGGAAAAACAGTAGAGGCATTGAGAGGGTAAGTTTGAGTTTGTTGTCCAAAGGTTATAAAGCCACACAAACATTATTCACTGCATCCGCTTGCTCACATCTTATTTCCACCTCTCGCCTAGAAAAGGTCAAGAACATCATTAAGTTTGCACGCATCTATTCCCTCGCTCCATCTCGTTCGGAATGAATCATATGTATAATGATGATAGGCCACCATCAGGTCAACGTACGTGCTGCTATGTTTAACATGGCGTGCGTAAGAACGCGGAGGAAGGGTTACGGTCTGGTCCAGGGTGTCCGGTGGCCGTTGCCCTTCCTGAAGGGAAAATACAACGTGTCACACGTCGGAAATACTGCCCTGTATGACTGGTTGCGGTTCAGGACTGGTGGGGATGCTCTTACCTTTTGGTGGGTTTTGGTGATGCGGTCAACCAAGTTTGGTTTCTCATACCTCTCAGACCTTCATGTTTGAGAACATGTCTTTGGGAGTCTGAAGCTTGAAAAATAAGACTTGGGGCCCGCTCGGCAAACTTTATATGTATAACTCTATAACGTGTTATAGACCACCAGAGCTGAAAGTCTTTGTTGAAAATCTTTTATGACTAAACTCAACAAAGTCCCACGCTGCGTTCCCACGCTGCGAGACGCAGCGTGGGACTTTGTTGAGTTTATTTTATGACTATGATTTATGTAGCATACAATAAATAGTAGAATTTATTTATTGAAGTCTGATTGATTAAGTCTGTTGTGAATGGGTTTGGTAGACCACTCAAAGAAAGAAGTGATAGAAAAACAATGTGAAAAACTCAATCTTGACACGGTCTTAATTACCCCTGAAGGGCTTGAAATTTGAAAGGAATTATTCAAGTCTGTGGAAAACCTGAAAAAACCTTTCAGTAAAAATAAGAGAAGCTTCATAAGACAGGACCATAGCTTGAATCCTGAATTTTGTCTTATGGGTTCGTGGCCTCGATTCGGGTCGGATAATATGGTTTCTATGTAATCACTATGATGTCATCGAAATTGGAAAAACAAGTTGATGAAAATTGATTCCCAGATTAAAAGTAATTAAACATCTTTTCTAGAATTCTTATAATCCATCATCATTCATCATGGAAAGACCATCCATTGACTTAGACTCAGAATCACCTAAGAAAAAATCAAGAATGTCAGAGACTACTACTGATCAGTTTCCAAAAGCTACACTTTATATTTTTAAAACTTCGATTTGGTCTTCGGTTCCTTTACTTGGTTTAATTGAAAAAGGTTATAATGAAAATGAATATAATCTTAAAGAAGTGGATTTATGTTGAGTTTCATTTTGAAGTCCAATTATGATGGTTAAGGTGATGGGATTGGTTTACTGATGAGTTCTTTTTTGGTTTTCATTCGTTTGTGTAGTCAAAGGAGAGAATTTTTGGTCAGTTGATTCTTCTGATCTGTGTCAATCTCACAAGTTTGCAAAAGTCTTGATGACTGATTCGATACCTTTCATATGTGTTTTGTTTGTTTCCTTCAGTCCAGAGTTTCTTAGATTGAATCCAAAGGGAACAGTTCCATTACTTGTTGTACCAGTGTAAGTTTGAAATTCATTTCAAGATGTTCCTGTTTACCTTTCAAATGAATCAAAGAGAAACCTTGAAGAATCTCAATCCTGACGACTGTTTTTTCAAAAAAATCATAGGATCAATCCAGAACCAGATCATCCACAAAGGTTTAAATCCATCACTGATTCAGAAAGGATTTTAGACTTTTTAGATTTATCAAGAAAACCACAAAACACACATCATTCGAATGAAAACCCAGCACCGACCTTAACACCTGCGATCATCAGTACTAAATTTGATGCAGATCGGTTGATTAATTTGATTCAAGATGGATCAGTTGATTTGAATTTTTTAAAATTAGGTTCTTTAATTCAATTCACTCATGTGGATTTTGGAAATGATGAAACTGTTAAGATGAAAGAGTTTTTTGAGAATAGGATTAGAGCTCTTGAAACTTTTATGGAAATTAATCCTACTGCTACTAATTCTATGAAAGCTTTTTGGAAAGGTTGGTTTCTTTCAGAGAAAATCTTTTTTTTCGATTTTAACTAATGAGATGTGGTTTTTTTCGATTCTCTTTGTTTTCAACACACAGACCGATTGAAAGCTGATCAAATCACGTTGAGTATCCTCGCTTCAAATGCTACTGAAGAAGCTGAACAAGATTTTCTTAATCGGGCTCGGAAGATCTGGAGGAACTGTGTGGTGATGTTAACGAGAATTGCTCAATCTATCTCGAGCAATAAGGGTCAGTTACACTTTCCATTTGTCATTTCTTTGTATATTCCTAATAACATGTTTATCCGAGTATCAATCCTTATTGTATTCTGTTCGGGATTTCTCAAAACCACATCGGTGAACAGGCGATTATATTTTAGGAGAACAAATCTCCTTGGTTGATTTACATGCAGGAGCATGGATCGTCCGGCTTTTCTATATACTTGGTTTTACGGGAAAACCATCATTATCATTTAAATCAGATTCAGGAACTGAAGTTTATCAAAGACTTGTTAAGATGCTTCAAGCGGTTAATAGTTCTGAAATTGATGAAGAAGAGGTGAGGGATGTTTGTGATGGGATTATCAAGTATTGGAACACCTTGAGTGTTCGTGAAAGTTTTAAAAAGGTTTATGTTCAAGGGTTTCATTAAATGGACACTTCTATAAATCTTCACATTTGTTGAAGTGGTATTTTTTGATCAAAGTGTTTGTTTGTAACAAAATTCAAAGAACTCTTTCCATCATGTAGCTTTTTTAAATTTTGATAATATTATTTCGAGTGTATAAGTTCACATTAAAGTTTATCCAAGATCAACTGAAATTATCTAGCTACGAGAGCATCTATAGGTGGTTGTAGGTGACTTACAGAGATACCAGAAGATGTAAGCTGTCACCCTGAGTCTATAAAAGTGGTCTTTAAAAGACTTGGTCTGAATTGAACTTACAGGTTTTAGAAAAAAAAATGCGGCATGGCCACAATAAAGATACCACCTACAATCAAGTAAATTCGCGCCAAAAGAGGTTAGTTTTGATGAGGTCAAGTTCTTCATAAAAATTAACAAAGGGTACCTCATGCTGAATGATGATCACTATTGAAAGGTCTTCTACAGATGGGTACGGCTGTAGTATACTCATATCTTAGGGTGGTCTAGATTCTGCTAAAGTCATTGAAACCTGCTTCTCAGTCAAATCAGTGTGCTTATATCAATTCAAGAAGGATGAATTTCCAACACTCCTCAAGAGGCTGATATACTTGTATTGAGTTCCTGTTCTACGATTGGGCCGTTGAGATGATCAAGATCAGCACCTTACCTCATTGGAAAACCCACATTTTGGCAAGTCATGTGCTTTTGTATGATTGCTTTGTGTGCAGTCGTGTAAAACTCTGAAGAGTCTTGGAAATATTTTACACTCTCCTTCTGCATAATCAGAATATTTGTACGAAAAAAATTACCAATCACGGTGTTAGACTTGGCTCCTGTAATGGTTCAGAAGCATCTGAATACACCAAAAGAATAGGAAAACCCTCCTGATTGTCAGATTCATATCCCATAAAAGCGCCCCAAGAACCTTGGAGGGTCTAGATTGTGTGAGGTGGTACAATTGACATCTGAAGCTCCTCCCTTCCAGAACCAAATTCATATCCAGCAGGATTTGTGTTTGAGTTACAACCCCCCCTCTTTAGGCTCTGGTTGCTGTGGGAGGTGTGGCTTGTGTTAAGCTAGGGTACCTTGTCGGAGTAGTTTTCACTTCTTGACAAACACACAATCTCCCTTGCCCCTTGAAGGGAGGCAGTGTGTGCTCCTTGACACACAGGACACAGACACAGGGGTTGTGCATTAAAGTGCCTTCAAAAAACTGCACCTGGTCTATTGTACAGGATTCAAAGTTTGCAAGCATAGGTTACAACAGAACCTTTCCAAGTAAGTTGGTGAAGGAAAGAAAGCTAGCCAAGCTTTACTATCACTTCATGAAGGACTACAGATCTGTCTCCACATCCATCAAATTAGCTTACAAAGAACTTGAGCTCATCCAAACCAGCCTAACCACATAGATAACCTCAATGGAAAACACCACCAAAGAAATCCAGACTGTCTGAAATTATCAATTCACAAATTCTGCAATTCTACCCAATTGTCAAGCAACCCAAGTTGAGCAATACGGACAATATGTCTTTACATAGGTAAACTAATATTCTAATCAAACATATGTTTCTTCAAAAAATTTGTATCTTTTGCACCTCCAGACTGCACAGGTGTGCCTCAGGCTTTGCAAAATTTGTGTCTAACAGCGCCACATGAGTCTCTGTTATTATGTTGTATAAAATCTGACACAAAAAGGGATCAATGTATTGGATCAACTTTGGACATCTAGTGGTTCTGAGTGATGGTTGACTTGGAATGTACCACTTTACTAATGTAAGATTTGGGACCAACTTCCTCAAGAACATCTCCAACCCCCTCTTCTTTTCCTTCCTTACAATCACTCAATACCCAATATACCCCTTAATTTACTGATGTACTCAAATTGTGATATCACAAGACAAATTCAATATCTCACCAAATCCATCCAAATCCTCCTTTTATGTCCTGTTCTGCTGCCATTCTTTCAATCTTCAAAATGAATAAAAATTTGAAAAATATATGATGATATATTGAACTGAACCAAAACATAACAAAAAAACCACAAAAAACCCCACAAAAAAAACCAAAGCAAAACAAGAAACTCAAATCAAACACAATGAAAAAAGAAGTCCACAACGAAGAAAACAAAACGAAAAGGATATTTCTCTCTCTCTCTCTCTCTCCTTCTCTTCATTCTCTCCTCCACACAAAAAAAGTACCAAAAAATGATATATATATATATATATGTAAATGTAGAAATGTTTATATAATACTCTTGAACTAGTAAACTAACAATATGAAATTTTTTATGATTTTTTTCTCTCTTTAATTAAACACAAAAAAAAAGACATGTAATGAAATAATAACGATCGATGAACTCAATGAAAAGAAGAAAGAGGAAGAAGAAGATTAAATATGAAAAGACAAAAAGTGGTTTGAAAAAAAAGGAGTTGCATACATTTCTTTTTTTTTGTAGATTTCTCAACTTCGCCTCTCCTTTTCATTCATCATCACACATGGAGTAGACGACCAGGAAAACCCACTCACTACTTGAAAAAGTCGTGATCAAGCAAAGAAAGACCAAAAGAATTGCAATTCCTTCTTCTTTCATAGAGAAGGGAGAGTAAATGTGAGAGAGAGGGAGAGAGAGAGAGAAAGAGAAAAAGGTGAAGTGAGGAAGGAAAGATGAGGAAAGAGTATGTATGACTGCATCTGAATGAATCTCAGGATAGAAAATAAATCTTAAATGATGAGGAAGTGGCTTGATTTCTGAGATCGAATCTTCCACTAGAAGACAAGCTGAGCAAGACAGTCACAGGAAAACCGATCAAACAAACAACGAAACAAACTCATTGATGACTTCTTCATGTCCCACCAGTAGATCCTGTCACACTGTATCGATTAATTCCCCGTCATAAGAAGAGAAATCGTCAGTTCCTATTGTCTCTGTACTCCCCCATGAAAAGAAAGACAAGATCCTCACCTCTGACGCCGTTTCTTCAACATCTCCTTCTTTAGGGCAGCTCCATCCAATGGTTTCAATAATTCAAACGCGCATAGCAAATCTTCTGAAACACTCATCACGGCTCCAAAGTTATCAAATTCTAACAAAAGAAACTCATACGTCAGGATTGAGTGAGATGAATTTGAGGAGTCATTGGCAAATCAATTCAACAAACCTCCACAATAATTGGGTGCAGAAAAGATGGTGACCAATGTCCTCTCATTCCAAAACTCGTACCCATCTTCTACTACCATATGTGCACGACAAATCAAATCAAAATCGTGCCTTTTTTAACCACCCAACCAGAAAAGAAATTTTACCAATCAGTATATACCCCATCAACAGACAAGATAAACGAAAAAAGACACTCACCTAGCCAAAAAATCACCAATCACACTCTTGCCAAAACAATAAGACACTCCACGTTCATTATCTTCCCAATCCGTAGCTGTATCACTAGGATCAGACCAAAGTAAATCGTTCAAGAGACCATAATCAGGTACATCGGTTGGCCTTTGAATCCTTCGAATATCATCCATGTTCGAAAGTGAAGGTGAGAGTCCTCCATGAACACAAAAGATTTTAGATGCTACTACAGCTGAGATCGGTAGACAGTTGAACACATCAATAAACGTTTTCCAGATCTTGATGTTACATCTCCTCTTGCATTCGTCATAGAATCCGTAAACTGTAGTTTGAGACACGTTTGATTTGACGGTTTGATGAATGGACGATTCGAGTGTGATGAGAAGTCGAGATTTTGGCAGAAAAGTAAGCAAATTGGGGTTGGTGATGTGGTGTAAATTTGATGATGATAGTTGAGTGGTATGTACATAGTGTCAGAAGGATAAGAATGAGTCGCTCAGATCAGCTGAATTCAAAACAAGACGGGAAGGCAAGATAAGGCAGGGGAAAAAAGCTAAACATTCAATCAGACACACTGTGAACTGAGAGCTCAAGGTCGTTTTTTGGGGAACATAATGATATAGACTACACGAGGACTAAAAATGGATGCCTGACATGGAGACGGTAGGTTCCTAAGCCTCAAGCAGAGGCATCACCGAGTCAGGCGCGTGCCCTATTTCTAATTTGAAATAATCATATAATGTGAAAAGAAGTAGAAAGATGTAGAAGAGATCAAAGGAAAGACGCGAATGAGAGGAGGGCATAGAGGATAGGTGTATTGAGTGTTTGGGTATGATTCGACATTTTGTCTTATTTCGGACGTACCTCTTGTAACGTTTGCACATTCATGATTACCCCTCAGAAGAAAGAAGTTTTCAGGATATTTGATCTTGTAACACAACAATAACAAGATTGTCTCGAGACTCTGTTTGCCACGGTCGACGTAATCTCCTAGGAAGAGATAATTAGCGGATGGAGGAAAGCCGCACATCTCGAACAATCGAATCAAGTCACTGTATTGACCGTGTACATCGCCTACAATCTTGACTGGAGGACTGAGTTCGATGAGTGTAGGTTGACTAAGGAAGACTTCTCGAACAGCTAAGCAAATTGCAGTGATCTCAGCATTCTTCAAACAGACCGATTTGGTGATCTTGGTACTATATCCAACATCCAAGAGACGAGTGATCATCTCATCGATATCAAATGTTTGAGCTTGTGTATTAGCTGTACCGATACTGGCAGGTAAAGCTTTGATGTTGTTACCCACAGGGCCTGTGAGGTGATTCGAGGTGGAGAGAATGGTGGAAGGTTCATTGGAAGAATCAGTTGATTGTTCATTACCAGAAGCAGTGAGTGCAGGTTTTGATGGGCCAGCTTGATCGAGGGAAGGAAGTGATGTGATTGAATCATGTGTGCGATGAATCATTGAAGGATCAATATAAGCTGACTTTCGATTCGCAGAGAGAGAGGAAGGCTCGTTTTGAGTTTGATGGAAGTTAGAAGAGTCAGGATCATCATTTGAATCTCGGTCTCTGAACTTAGTCTTGAGCTTCTTTGAAGGGTTGTTACCCATGTCGATTAAGAATCAGATAGGTAAATGATAATATCGAATGAGTTGAAGTTATAAGTTGATGGATAGTGTTGATTTGAAATTATCTAGATTTGTAGATTGAATATGATGAAGTACTGAAGTTAAAATAAATTATGAGCTGTTGTTGTTGCTTGTTAATTGGATGATGATTGATTGTTGTTCTTGGTGATTGATGATTGGTGATGGTGATGAAGTAGTTAAGTGTATTTCGTGTTTCAATTGGAATTATGTCGATGATGAATCGATGAATGCTTCACTTGTTGTCTTCTTTAACTTTCTTTCTTTCCTTCTTGACCGTTTGAGATTCCGTTCGAGGTGGTGTCAGTCAACTCTTTACGTCAACTCACTGAGACACAGACTGACTCATGGAGTAAATCATTCTACATACAATACACTTATCTCTTATGTACATAGACTTAATATTATGTCTACATAACCTCAGTAAGTACTTATCTCCATAGCTACAGTGGGTAAAGTTAAACCGTCAATCTTGTCAAATCCTCTCAAACTTCCCTGAAAGTCTTATCCTAAAATCCATCCATACTCTTTAGGTGCATGATTAGCTTGGGCAGGAAGAAGACGGACTGGCATATAGTCATTTGACATTTCGGTACATGTTTCATCACGTCTCACAGCGTGAGGTCCAATATTTCATTGTCGTGATGTGGTAAATGCTCATCTATGGTTGGCAAATCACTCGTGAGCTGATTTGGGGCTGACTCCATTCAACCTGGAAACACCAAGTCAAAGCTCTTCTTGTAAGGAAAATCTGGAGCCTTTATGATTCTGGTTTTTTGGTACAAAGTTTTTTATATATTAATTCCCCAGTGTCACTACATAGAGCTAAAGGATGTCAGACACTTTTACTAATGATGTGATACTGTGACGACGGATGGAGGTCTTATTTCGTCATCATGTAAAATGAATGCTTATTGCTCTTATCCTGTGCCTCACTGTGAGTGGAATCTCAACCTGGCGAAAGAAAGCTTGGATCAGGCGGAGGTTATCGATAAGGATCCAACTATGACTTTGATCCGATTCCTCGATTTCCAGTGATATCCCCAGCGAATTATACGCGTTGAGGTTTCGCGTCGTTGGCCATCCAGAGGCTTAGGAGGGATCGAGTCTGGCAAAATCTATTTTGGGACACTTGGCCTGAAAGATTTCAGTGTTTAGTGAAAGCCAGGAAATACACCCGACAGAAGCATTCATACCTCAACATTGGATTGGATGATACCTCTGTATTGGCATCTCATCATGGTAAAGAAATACTACTGCAGATTTGTTTTGTCAAGAGCTGAATGTACTCCTTGCCCAGTCACAATCTTGTGCATAACTCGTATGTATTGTGCGAGTTCTCGTCGTCTGGGGGCAATCTAGAACTTTATCCGGTAAAAGCAAGCGCCCCTTCATGTCATTCAACCCCGACATCCGACTAGGATCTGATGGGATTCTGTAAACATGGAGGTATGAACAGCAAAGGGTTTCACTAAGGCTAAATATGATGGGAAATGCGAGGATGCCTCGGTCCAAGTGACACCTTCAGATAACTATATGTGTATACGCGAAGGGAACTTGGATACCTGAATTCCAATGATCGGATACCGTTGTCCACTTTCACGGTGATCGGGACATGCGTCCATATGTACAGATAACTAAAAGGATGGATGATGATTTCAATTTGTCTGAAGACATAAATGCTGATTGCTGCTGAAGGAAACCGAATGTGATTAAGATTATATATTTTTAAAGGAAGTCGCTGTGTGGATCTGGCTGTTCTCCGGGCGATTATCTTGCCGACCATTTTACAGTTGCGATTCTCGAGACATGAGGAACCGATGTGATAAATAGGCTCATAGTTGTCCGTGAAGAAGGCAAGAGAGGCCGATTCTGGCTACTCGGCCAGTACGGCTGGGGTGGGATTTTTCTCGATCTTCTCTTGAATCGTATCGTTGATCGAGGAAGCAGTGTTAGCCAATGAGGGAAGATCGTTCTCAGCATTCTTTGCTTCGACGTCGCTTTTGAGATTTTGTGAATCTTGCTCCTTCTTCAGTTGTACTTCGTCTTTGCCGATCATTTGACTCAATAACGCATCTCCTTGAGCTTGGTCAAGCGCTGGAGTATCAGGCTTCCCTTTTGCAGCTACAGGTACGTGGGGTGTTGGAGCGGGTTCAATGGGATTTTCGACATTTCCTTGACCAGAAAGAACTTGAACTTCGTTTGCAACTCTCTGTGCAGCTGGATGAGATGGAGCTGCCATATCGACGCCCAGTTCCTTAAGCTCCGCTGCCGAGAGTTGAGCAAGCAATTCATCGTCTTCAGATTGGCCCATTGGTTTTTCAAGGAGCAGGAATTGTCGCAACTCGCCGTACTCGACACTAAAAAGCCACCGGGAAGAATGTGTTCAGGGATACCAGAAGATTTGTGAGCAAGCTGGGAGATTCTGGTAACACCTCTAAACAACTGAGGAAGGAGCACATACGCTTCTTCGAGCTGTTCCACAGTTCCCACGGCCTCTCCTCCACTGATAATAAACGGTAGCTCGGGGGATTTGACATGGTTTGAAGCAACAAGTTTTTTATACCGCAACTTCTCCTCTTCGCTAGAGGCAATATCGAAGAATTCGAACGTGAGCTTTGCTTGTGAGAGGATCCTGGTCGCTTTATCGTGGTTTGATCGAATTTTGTTGGATGACATGATGGATGTTCCAAACACTTCAATCTTTCGTTGAGATTTTGCAGCCATAGTGAGTGATGCTTGAATGACGTAAAGTTCTGATGACGTCCCTTCAAACTTCACAACCCCCAACAGCCACGCCCTTGACACAAAACGTAATAGGCCCCGCCCATCTGTAAGCCCCGCGTACCGACCAGGTATTTTCCAAACACCATCGGCCACCGAATCTTGACCTTTCTTGACTTGTGACTTTGGCCTGTCATTTGACACCACTAGAACTGACCTGATCTACCTCACCTTGTATGAGGAAAATTCTTGACCGCAGAAACTCAAGTAGATGCAAACAAGCAAAAGAATAAACTAAAAGCTGTTAGGGCGGGTAGAGGAGATGGTTCTCGAACATGGCAAACTGCACAGTGAGGTGCTGCAACGACGCGTGATGCGATGGCTTAGACATCGTTTGTCCTGGCGACGTCACAGTAGTTCCTTATCCTACTCTCGTTAAATACTATGAGGAATATGACGCGACTCCGCTCCATGTGATCCGGAACATCATTGCGGAAGATACTCAGCTCGATAGAGCCCAGTCCGAATACCTGCTTTCGAATCAGCTATTGAAAGGCCGGTAATGATTCCATTTCCAGCTATATGTTATCTAGGAGTGGCACTTGTGCAATTAGCATATATATATTCTGGAAAAAGATTCAGAACCAATTTCATTTTATCAAAAGACAGTTATTGTATTTATATAATGTTCAAAGCTAGATCCTGGGCTTACACTCCATTTACCTATGTCCGTGTTTTTTTGACGTCCAACCAAAGTAGCTACAATAAATCAACCCTGCAGGTGTCCTGTTGAGCTTCCCCGACTCCCTTAAATCACACACATTCAAGAGAAATAACTATTGATATGGAGCAAGAGGTTACCCTTTCAGCAATTATCATTTGGCTTGATGTGGATCTTGATATTTCCTTCTTCTATTGACACCCATACTTGATTCTGTCACTGTCTTCACTCTGCGAGAACTCTCGGGTTTGTTCCAACCGTATTCATCTTCTGGACCATACGCACACGAACCTTTGTATCACACTGAGCCAGCGACGTTCTAAAAAATCCATTATTCTCGCGTCTATGTCTTTTTGTTGGTGTGCTGAGCTTGCAAGTTGTATCCAGTCCATCTCTTCTCATCGCTTATCACTCGCGCTCTTGGAGAATTAGAGTTATCAAACACCGCTGCGACAATATATATGTGTTGTAGCTTCCCTCGTGACGGTGATCAGAGAAATGTTGCTGCGAATATTGTGAGGATGGAGTTGGTCAGATGAAGTAAGGTTTGAATAGTCGACTCAACACATTCTTAGCTCTCCTGCAGATCGTAAGCATCATTCAGCGAGCTGTTAAACCACGCTGCTAATTCTTGAATCAAAAGTCACATAAATCAATATCATCGATCGCAAAATCAAAGTGGAACGAAAGCAAACGAATCCTTTAAGCCCGAGCTTACGTAATGGTTTGCGAGGCACGCTCGGTATGTTGTATGCAGTTTTGAAGTAAGAAACAATCAGCACAGCCATATGTACTATTGAAAGGAGGTAAACACGGCTAAACCGGGCTCATTCAACCCGGCAGGAGAAGACGATAGATGGAAATCTAGAAACAGAATGATCTGACAACCTATGACCATTGGTAAAGAAGCAGACTACCATCTACTCCATTGCTTCTAAGTCATCATCAAACTTCACTACCTTGCACTTTCATCCTCGCAGACCTCAACTCAAGCCTGAGTCAGACATCGCGCTCCTGTGATGTATCGTCACCATGGAACTGCATATTCCAAGTTCAGGCGTGTCCCCTCGTCAATTCGTTAACATTCACCTTGGAAAGATACCCAACCAGTCATCCCTCGAAATTACCCTTTAAGGTATGCATCTCTTGCACGATCGTCAACTGGAGACATGTGATACAATGAGGTGAAGGGAGTGACATCGACCTTCAAACTATCTTCGCAGCTAACTGAGGTGTTTTTCTATTCACCCTGATAACTCAAAGACGACTGAAGCCCTCATCCTCTTCGATTGTACCTTGGCGATGAACAATTTGTCACTCTAGGCTAACTCATCTCATGTTGTGAACATTAAGTCGATTCTTTCAATTTATGCTATAAAAGAATTTCAGGACATGATCCGAAATGTAATCCCGTGACTCTTCATGACCGATGGATTCCGGGCCTCAAAGGAAGCTCTGATCATGAACGCCCAACAGCGACCAACGTATTGAGTTCGAGAAAGCTTTGACCGATTCCTAGTGCATGAGACTGCAACTTCAAACTTCAAACAGGTTCCATACCTACGAAGTCGAACCAAAACTTGAACCAAAACACTTTGAACTGTTTATGATTAAGACCCAAAGCTCTTAATCTCGTCTGATCTCGTCCGCGTTTTCCTCGATTCTGAATTGTTTCGTTAACTCCAGCCGTACGGAATTGCAAGCATGTTTTGAGCTTCAAAGTATAAATTACTCTGGATCTGAGCTCATCCGATTTTATCTTTTACATTTGCGGAAAGGCTAGGAAAGGCAGCTGGGTCACGGTTTTAGAACTACAGCGCCGTCTGAAGCAAGCCGCACTTGTAGATTTGAAAAAGCAAGAGCCGACAGTTGCGTTACCACCTCCACCCCGATTTCAGTTCTCGAAACGATACATATTTTGATCGCCACGAAGTCTAATTATTGTGCATTGAGTGTTATACAATTGCGGTTTAATCGAGTCCCCTCCTCTCTGCCTCACGCGAGTCCCCTCACGGGCCCTCGACAGTGACCCACATTCGATCTTACAAGTTAACAACTCATTCGAATCGATTACGCGTCCCCGATTCTGAGCTCGATACAGTCTATATAAGAGACTTGGATTAAATGAAAATTTAAACGCATCGTGATTATCCTTGATGGGCTGTATTGTTCGATCGAGATGAATTGCACTTCTCAAACGGGGCTTTGGCTGTGACGGCTTAACTTCCCAAATCGTGCTGAACTCGGCTTTCCAGCTTTCCAGCTCAAAGGATCATGGGCCTGGAGACTAGAATCGGATTCGCATCAGGCATCTCGCAATCCAATGCTCTTTCTCGACGGCCAAATGATCGTTCACCTTCACCCAGTAATCTGTGAATGCCATGACATCATACACTATATCGATAACTAATTTGTGAAATATCATGTCTTCAACAATTGTGATGCTTCCCATTCACTCTTTTGAGCGATTTCCCAGTAATTCCATCATCCTTTGGTGTCTCACCAGATAACAACACGTCTTTTTCTAATTTCGCAGAGTTTTGATAAGTTTAACCGAGGGCGATAGTATAATTCACAATGAGAAGTGAAGGAACAGATTAATTATGAGCTTTCAATTTTCAATTTAACCTTATATATATACTCTATAACCTCTTCTCTCGACTTCATCTTTACTTTTCTAAATTTTTCGAGTGCATATACAAATATACATGCACACCTTCTTTCCCTATATATTTCTTATTGACACAAATTTAACCTCACAGGGTGGCAACCTAAAAACATCCACTTCTTCTGAGTGATTTTTTTATGTGGACTACTCCGCTTCCGACTTCGTCGATCACTTCATAGGAGCGATTCATACTACATAATTCTAAACTCTCACCTCTTGCTCTCTCGAGGCCGATCCCAGCCGATTGCTCATCACATTAATACTTTACCTCGATTCACTCCTTGCCACGTGCGTGCTTAATGAGTGAAATAAGTGTGGAAATTAACTCAAGGCTGAACAAATTGATGTATGCTATCAAAATCAGATTCACAAATCTTTATGAGTTGTACCCATCCTGATTCTTGTTTCTCTTCTAGTATCCCAAAACGGATCAAATACATTTCAATTCTAAAACTCGACATTAACAATTTGATCTGGATCATTTCACTCATCTCGCCACCTCCCCCTCTTCCCCACTCAGTCGGAACTGCCCCTCATAACGGACTCGATTTGGTTAGATCGGGTAAGCACCGATGATTGTTCTTTGTACGAATAAACTAGGATTAGTTTTTCTACTCGATTTATTTCTCTGGAACACAGACTTGAGGATTTGTTAGTTCGGATCAGCGTTTTGAGTTCATTCCTATAGGATTGATGGAGTGGGCAGTTTGATGAATTGAACCTCTTAAACCTTTTTACATCACACGCTTCATCTTCAGGTTTATTAAAACAAACCTAAAATATGTTCAATTTCTGATTTTCTTCTATTGCTTTACACTTCAACTATTTTCACTTTAACCACTTTAGGACAATTCCACATCGTACGTAAACTGTAAAAGAGAATCCAGAAACATAACCTTGTGAAGTTGGTGTTTCCAAAACTAACTCAAGTGAGCTTTGGAGATCGAACTCAAAACTTATTTTGAATTTCAAATTTTGCATCACAAGCAGATCATCATTTCTTACAATCTCGATTCTTTGTACTCTCCATTACAAAACACGCCTTACTCGGACTTACTCATTTCATAGAGTGTCAGAGAAAAATTGAAGTAGGTGCACTCAACACCTCATCATATTTTTTTGAACTAGATCTTGGATCACTTGCATTCAATTCCAGAGCTCTCAAACTCGTTTCTATTACTCCGATTCTCATAACTCACATCCTTTTAAAAGAGTTTAATTCTTTATAAATTTCAACTCAATCTATGAATCTTGCACTCTTTGGATCCAAGAACTCGCACAGTGACTTAACAAGACTTGATCCGCACCTTCAAAAACATTTTTGTCCTTCATTCCTCATCCATTTTTCTGGTGCGCCAACTACGTTTTGATATCTGGCGTCATCAATTTGCTTGTGTCTCCGTGTACACCAACCCTAACGATCTTGATCATCTTTGCCTCATTCCTTATTCAAGTCTCGAGCTGATTGCTCGTATCCGAAATATAACGACATTGGAATTACAAACCTCCTCACGCACGTGATAGAGAAGCAACAGGACATTTTGGAAGATACAAATCTGAAGCTCAGCCCTCTCCGTGTAAGCGCACTTCTCTTTGGGTATGATCATCCTATGTATGAAGAAGAGTTTGACTGATGATCACTATGATGATTGGCTTTGACCTTTGAACCTTACAAAAATTTATCAATTACGTACGCATACATCCACACACACCAAACGCAACCTAATGACAGCAGAAAGTTGATCAATTGACGATCTTTGAATCAGTGCTTGTTGAGTGTGAGTTGATTATCAATCAGTCTGTATCAATCCTTCATCATCTTTTCAAATATCAAATTATCTTTGATTTTCGAATCATAATGTAGATCTGATAAAGACTTAAACTCAGCTCAAAGCTTTTCATCATTCCCAATTCACAATCGATTGATTGATAGTTTGGATTCACACTTTAAACTTTCTTCATCTTATCATTTCACTCGGCATCCTTATCATACATCAGTCTTGATGATTTACATTCATCTTTAACCTCGGGGGTTCAGTCGTTTTTTTCAGATTCTTCTTTTAACATAAACTCAACCTTCATCTCAATTCGTCTCTTCTCTTCTCCTCTCCCGCTTGCTACTCTCGTTTCTTTCCTCTCGGCGACCGGTGACCACCCTTTTGCGGATGTTTCATTCTAATTTCTCAGCTTCGCTCGCGAAGATCAAAATCTTCACTTTGAACCTTAACACATTCAAATTCAACCAATAGAGTCCGTTCGGTTTATGCTGCGCTGTATTCGAACTTAAACCTAAAGAAACTTTTCATCTCAATCTTGAAAATCGTTGATGTTTATGATCATCCTGATTTATTCTGTTGAGCTAAAGTCCTTCTATGTATTTTTGTCTTTCTGTTTTATCTTTGGTTGATATACATGCTCATCATCATCATCATATCTGGGGATGGGTGGAGTTTGAGGGAAGTTTAAAGATCTTCTACTCTTCCATTCCTCATCGAGTCACCAAGTCGAACCCATCTGCATAGATGTATGCATGCAGACCTACGACATAATCATACTCTCTCTGCTCGTATTGCAATTCCTCTCATCGCCTCGTCAGCCGTTCGTCTCTTTCACAGCAAATCACAGCACTAGATGACATGACATATACGGTCTTAAAACTCAAGGCAGAGATAAGCAAGAAAGACAGAGAGAGACGGGCGTAAACTCATGCTTCACTCTTGTTATCCACGCGGCATCTGTCAAATCCTGCGAGAAAAGGTCCAACCTTGGTGTCTACACCGAGCCAAATCAACTTAATTTTCTCTCCTTTCTGAGCAAAGATATACTCAAGATCGATCCCTATTTTTGAAAGGTCGGCAATCATCTCATCCGCGATGAGAGTATGTCGTATGTCATTTCGGATGTCAATTCATGAATAGCCTCTCACCTCGGTCAGCATCCAGTTAACCCCTGTATCCATCAGCTTCTACGTTGCTTTCTTTCCTCTTCACCCGTTGAGTTTGTTTGTGCGTGCTAGGCTGTGAATCAGCAGCCAGCCAAGGTCAGGGCTGGTCAGGGTCAATGACATATGTTATAGACAACTAGAACCCAACTAACAAACAATTGCTATGTATCATGGGAGCGTTGACGAGGGCCTTGTGAGGTAATTGGATCAGATATCACGGTCCAGTCAACGGATATTTAGCAATGGCCCAACGGGTGTGAGCGAGTGCCAGCTTCAGTTCTATGCAATGAGAAACGAAAATGAAGAATGAAATAGAGGAAATCTGGCTCGAAACAATGATATCTCATCCAGGCAGTTTTGAATTCCACCTTTGAACTCGATCTCGAGAGCTGAGTCAGGTTTAAACACCCTCGAGTCACCACTTTGTCCATAAATGACATCGTGATAGAACTCAGAATCATAAATCGACTGGCTAGAAATCTTCATCGGCCATTTTCCAACTCTCCATGGTAGATATGGCAAGCAGGTGGGCTTTATAAAAAGATCTATTTTGACATACATAATTATACGCAATCCCACCCAAAATAAATATGATATTGGCGCGGTCGGAATTACATAATCGCTCGAAACCAGCTCTCATAGTGATACAAAGTACGTTGTAACGTGTTGGCGTGTGTTGTCACGAGGATTGGGCATCCCCATCACCGTTCTAAACGCTTGATGGAGAGACCACTCTTTACCATTTTTTTAATAAAGAATGAGATATTGAAGTTTGAATTCAAAATTTGAACTTACACTCCTCTCAGCTCTCTCTCGATGCGTGATCTTGAAGCCCTGATTATGTATATCAAGAATTTTCCTTTGTCTCCACTCTACCACGCTTTTTTCCAGTCTGTAAAATGATTTTTTCCCTTTGGTGGGCTGTTAGTGGCTACACTGGCTCACAAATCCGCAGACTATCCATCAGCTTTGCTTGCCTCAGTGATCATCCTTTCCCACGCACGTTACAGAGTCAAGAGATGCCATAAACTTGATAAACTTGATTTCCATTTTTCTTTTCAATGGGACAAACCATAGATATCATCCATACTCTGCCCAAAGAGTGTCGATTGACTTGTCCCCCTTTCGGCTGTCCTTGTCTCGTTTGCTCATAATCACTGTTTTCGACACCTGATTTCCGATCGTATCAGCATCAGATTTCTTTGATTTGGTATCAGTACAGAATAATTCTCAGCAACATTCTCATTTAAAGTTTTTGTTCACCCTCATCATTTATCCTGTTTTTCCCCTTGCTCCCGTCTCAAATCTTCTCGAGTCTTCTGTTTTCCTTTGAGTCGAACCTTAGCCTTGATTATCATCAATTCTTTTTCAAATCTATTTCCTCTCTCTCTCCTTTGAGTATCCTTAACTTATTCACAACCTTCTCATCCTCTACCTTTCCGGTGACTCTCATCTCAGCCTCTCTCGACAAGTTTCGGTTCATTGGTTCAACGTTCGTCAGATTCATATTTGTATCATCAAAGCTTAAAGCTCAATCTTCGAGAGAATCTTCGAAACAAAGCGTTTGAAAAATTTGCGAGTAAAAAGGCTAATATAATGTTTTACATATTCTTGTTCCAAAGTTTATCCTTATCGATCGATCACACAGTTTAGGCAACATAGTTATACAATCTTGTCTACCCCACCCTTAAAAAATCCAATCTGATCTCTTCATCCGGAGCACAGACCAAGACGTTCAAGGAAGAATCAAGAAGAGGGAGAAAAAAAATCAAGCAAGACAAGAAGATCTCGAAAAGATAAAGTAAAACCATGAATCCAAATCATAATAATAATCACACCGCAATTCACCATCATCACCAACAGCCAGTAGGACAAACTCATCACCATCACCATCCTCCTGCCCATCCTTCTCATCCATCATCTCAACTCATTCCTCACCCAGCTCTTTCACATCCTCACCATCGAACTGCACTTGAGAGTGTTCAGCAACAGCAGAGTGCTAATTTACAATCATATAAGAACTCGGCTAAATCTGCTTTTCATGGTTACATCCAGAGCACTCATGACGCGCTCATTGTCTTTCAATGTTGCCGCAATGGCACATACTCTAAAGTTACCCGTCGATTACATGAGCGTGAAAGACGTCAAATCAGTTCAGGTTCGATTTTCGTGTTTGATGAACAAGAAGCTGGAATTAAACGTTGGACGGATGGTCGGGTTTGGAGCCCATCTCGGATTCTCAATAACTTTTTGATTTATCGAGAGATCGACCAAAAACGTCCTACGCCTTCATCTTCTTCTACTTCATCTACTCCGAATCAGCATGCCAACAATAACAACACGAATACCTCTGGTGGTGTTAACAACACGAACACCTCTAGTAGTGTAGTAGCACCACGTCCTCCATCTCCCTCTTCTGTTTCGAATGCAAGCGGGTCGCCACCACATGGTGCCCATCTTCAGAGCACTAATAACGCGTCTAAACAACTTCAACCCCCACCTCACTCTCATCAAACAAAACCTACTGAGTCTGAACCCCCGATTGCTAGTCGACCCGAATTCGCCGCTACTTCAGGTTCTACTCAACCTGATGCTAACAACTCAGCATCCCAGCAAGCCAACAACCCCTCATCTCCGATCAATCGAGATCTAGAGCGTTCATTAGTCGGATCCCTAACGACCACCTATAAATTCAAACCGGATGGTCTGGTGAAGAAGACTATTAGTCTTGATGGCATGCATATGATCAGTTACTACAAGGTAGATGACGTACTTGCTGGAAGGCTGCGTACTCCCTCCTCACAACTTGAAAATAAAACCCTACATATTTCAGAGAATTTACTCAAGGCCCAAAATTTTAGAGTAGCACCTGTCTTGACCTATGGACCAGGTGGTCATAAGATCTTCCAAGACGAAGGTGAAGATGCTGCGTCTCAAGCTGCTATTTTTTTTCGCCATCAGGATCATCCTTTGTCTCTACCTAACCTATCGCCTCATCAACAACACCAACAACAGGAGCAACATCAACATCATGGTCCCTCCAGTAGAACAACCAGTAATGGCCCCTTACCATTACACATTAACCTGCCTAGATCGTCACTTGGAATTGGTAGTCATAGTGGTGAAGGTAATAACGATGGTAATAGCCACCACAACAATCTTAGCTTGAATCGGATCTCGCGACCGAACTCTCCAGCAAGCTCAGTGGCACCTTACTCACCTCTCTCACCAATCCTGCCTAATAATTTCGGCCCAGTTCGTCCAACACATGATCGATTGCATCTCAATAGCAATCTCACTAGCCCTTCCACGGTCGTTAGGCATAGATTCGAACCGTATAATCGACCCACAAGGTCACCCGATCATCAGTTTCATCCTCATCCTACGACTAATTCTTCTTCTACTATCAACACTGCTATCAACCCCACCACTACTACTTCAACGACTACACTGACTAGCCATCATTACAATCCACATGCTTCCTATATCAGCAGCTCTGGTAGTGGTGGGAATAATCATATGGGTGCCTCCGATCGATCAACGACTCATTCAAGTAAGTACTCATTCTTCAATCCCCTGGTGTTCAGACGAGAATGGAGCGTAGAGCTACCAACGTGACATCCTTACCTTTTCCTTTGTTCTGTCGTTCGGTGTGATAGATACCCCTCAAACGCATCATTCACAGGCACAACACTCACCACTCAATAGCGGTCATAATTATGAGTCAATGGGATATAGGTTGAATGGCGGATTAAGTTTGAGAGGCGGGACATGTGACAGTCATTCTAACGTGAGTGACAAGAGAGTGAGTGAGTTTTTCGGGGGGAGTGCAGGGGGATAAATGTAAATAAACTAGATACTGATCTTTTCACCTTGGCTTCACTGGCAAACCTTATTGATCTATAGCCATACCGTACTCCTACCACAGCCGTGGAGCCTACGATTTACCAACCTACAGCAGATTACTCTAATAGTGATCACGGTAGCGGCTCTCATCCACGATCATCATCAGTCCCGCCAAGTTCCTTACCATCGATTAAACCAACTTCGACAAATTCTTATCTACAGACCAGTCCTACAACCAATACGCAAGAACAAAGATTTTATGATCAATTCAGGACACCATTCACATCAAACCCAATTTACAATTCATCTTATCATTCCGGTTACGGGAATTTCAATTCATCATCTAGTGGACTAAGTGGTCAGAGAAGTCCAATAGTTGCGAAAAACGAAATACTGAATACCAAATCGTCTGAAATCCTTGGTGGACATCATCTTACTCTTGGCGATTCTTCTAATAACAACAATACTAATAGTAACAACGGTACTGGTGTGTGATTCTTCTTTCTAATCACTTGATGAGTATGTTTTCTTCGTGTACTGATTCGAGTCGAATAATGGGGTTCTGTTGATCGATCGGTTATAGGATTGAATTGGGGACAAAAAACAGAAGATTAAAAAACGCAATCAACTATATACCAACTTGGTTTGATTTTCAATGTCTGAAGAACTCTTGATCTTACAAGAAACTAAACTCGTATCATTATTATCTTTTTCTCTTTTTATGCGACTTTTGTTTCTCCTTTTTTGATTTGTTTTCTCGTTTTTGAATTGTGTGTGATCTCTTGTGATTTTCTCTTACTTTGTTGTGTGATCCACCAATCTCTTCTTACCTTACTTCTTCCTGTCTTGTTGAGTCAAACGGACTGGGTAGGAGCTGATTTTTATTTATCGTAGTTACTAGTAGTTGTAAATCATAGGATGAAAGCAGGATAGGGACGAATTTTGATTATAGAATGTGGGATACTCTCCTCAACATCCGCCCACCCATTTATATACATATCCAAATAAAAGCAGTTTTTTTTTGTTTTGTTATTGTTTTTTTTCTGTCTTTTTTTTGGATACGGGATACGTTGTTGTTTTTTCGTTGAAGAGGAGGAAGTTGAAACTTTAAGAAGGAAACAAAAAGAAATGAATCAAAACAACCAGTTGAAAGCAATTTCATCATGATTTGTTTTATGGCAGTCCTCTTGAAATACAAACAGAATTAGATCCTATCATTCTTGTTTTCCATATTTTTACCTTACTTGATTTATTTGTTTTTTTTGGTTATTCTTATGAAGCAAAGAAATAAATTATTTAAAGGGGTCTTTTATGGAGCTTTCCTTGATCGCAGTACATCACTTGTTGGATTCCAAGATTAAAACAATTTGAGGAATCGACATATCTTGATAAATAGTCAAGTTCAACTTAGGCCCTGTTTGGTATGGCGTTCAGCGTTTATAAATGCGTTGGAGTCCGACTCGCATTTTGGATGGGCAGATTTCAGTCGAATCCGACAGACGGGTAGAGCGCCGGGCCGTGAACCCGTGCGTAGCCCTGTCGTGCTTTTGAAATTCAAGCTGAGCTTCGTTTAACTTTTGCTCTTGCTTGCCATTCGCATTCATCATCGACCTCTAATCTCATCAAATCTGGCCAACATGTCTCGCTCCATCGTGCTAGCGGCCCTAGGAAACTATAGTTACCCACTCACCCGCCATTCAGTAAATCAATTTCACTCTTTCCACTCTAATTCCTTCTCGGATTAAACGGGCATATTGAACTCCCATCGATCACCGTCATATATGTTGTGCCCAAAGGCTGGTCTGCGGATTGGATACCCGATTTTCGATCAGTTTCAAATCAACTCAATTAAGATCATTCCTGCTGACCGATACCTCTCATCCATATTTCAACTGTTCTTTGTTTGTTTCAATGGTACTTGCATCTAAACTCGAAGATCGCTCAAGTGGTTACACATAATCTTCATAATCTACTCAATGAGTTTCATAGTACTGGAATCGATCCAGGTCTCAAACCTTTCGAGTTATCTGTCCCGATCAAACCAGACTCACGAAGCTTTTCTCTGAGGTCGGCCCAAGAACATGGCCAGTTTACACACGATTTGAAACTGTCCAAACCACAACATCTATGGATCTCTCGCCATAAATTCCATCGGACTCGGACGCCTTTTAGTGTCATGAAAGGATCCCCTGAGAGTGAAGCACCGGCTATAAGGGACGAGTTAACACTACATCTCATCAAACCTCGAGCACTGATGAACGTTCTTGGACCTTTTGTTCATGATTATCATTCCAACGTATTTCGATCACAACCAGATACCAAACTAATACTCCTTCATGACGACCTTGATCTTCAACCACTAGCTGTTAGACGAAGAAGTCCACACAAATCCCTCAAGCCTTATGGACATAACGGTCTACGCTCTGTGCTTTCAGCTGTACCTTCTCCGCGTCATAAATTAATCCATACCATTGGTATTGGAATCGGACGAGATCCAGATAATACGAGTAAGGATAGTAGTGCAGTTGGAAATTGGGTGATGAGCCCATTGAAACGTGCCGAGATTGAAGCTTGTAGTTGGGTATCTGAAGATAGTCAGAATGCAAGCCCTCATTATGGTACTGTGGTGAAAGAGGTCTGGGATAATGTACGGAATTTGATGCGGATGCCATGAGATTGGTGTACTTATCAGGTTGAACCCTTTTAATACGGTGATATCTGAAATTGATGATTTTGTATATTTCCCGAGGGTTTACAAAGTTTTTGAGTTTCAAGGCAATTATCATCATGTTACGGGAAGCACATACATGAACTGCACTGCAGACTTGTAATTGAGAATCATTGAATCATTGTCAATTGAAGTATGTACAACAGCCTCCATAGCAGAGCAAATGATCACATCTTTTCAGCATGGTGATTAAAATTTTCCTGTTTGGTAATCCAAAAACAAAATCAGAATGCTGGAAGTGCTTCTTTGAAATGTATGATTTTTTTAGTGTTCAATGATTCATGTGCCATGAGTTGCCATTGATCATTTTTTCTGGTTGGTAACAGAGTAAATTGATTTCTTATTGGATCTAGTTATGAATTATTATCCCCTTTCTGAGAAAGCAAAAGTAAATGTTCATCATTATCAACACTTGAAACCAACAGAACAAAAATGTATCATGGGTCTATGACATTTTGCACATTTCTTATACACCAAACCATGTATTGTGTTACTATTGGAGGTACACATTGGATTTTTGCATACTTGGAGACTGCAGTCATTCTTTTAAAGCTTGTCCCTCCAGCAACAGGTTAAGTGTTTATAACCTGACTTTACAGGACAATACCTCAAAACTGTAGGTAAAATCCTGAGATGATTTTGTGATCCCAAAAGTCATATTGTAGGACATTGGAACCGTTCATTAAGTTTTTGACGCCTCAATTCCTTGATTTTGAAATTGTTTAAGGAGATAAGCTTTACAAGAATGACTGTAGGTAAAGGAAAAAAGTTTATGATCATTATCAATTAATACTTGTCAAATCAATTAGCATAAATGACTTTGATGTGATTTGAAGCAATGAAGATCTATCACACTTTATACCATTGAAGTGGTATCTGGGGCGTTGGATACATATTTCACTGCATTGATTAGACACAGGTCACAAGGATTCTGCAATTTTTTCTTGGCATGGATGGTGGGAAATATGAAGCATATGACAGTAAGTTCTTTTGTCTAAGTCTATTTTGAAAGAGTTTTCAACTGTGGTCTTGATCCTTTCTGTTTGTGACCTTCAAATGACCCTCAAATCAATAGCAAGTTATATTTCCTGCTTCAAAGTTGATAAAGAATAGAACTCAATCTTTTTGTGTATATGGCTACTTTGGTTTTGTCTCCTTTTTCTTGTCTTTGTTTTGATTGTCAGAGTTTTGGATTTGTTATTTTCCTGGTCCTTTTCTGGTAAGAATTTATATACTGAATGAGGGGTTTCTTGAGTCTCCTGCGGTAGATTCTAGATATGTAATAGAAAACTTGGGTTCTGATTGAATAAAACTGCGTGAGGATGGAGAAGAAAGGGGCATATGAAATCAAGTTCTTATTCTAAATCTATAGCTCATTTTGTAGAAGATGCATGTGTTGTTATTCCCCTGGACGAAAATGGTGCAACTGAAGCGGAATTTGATAGATATACTCTGATATACTTGGTTTGAAGAATGGGAAGCACATCACTGCTTTTGGATTGGCAAGTGGTGTGAGTCGATGACTGAAATGATTTGCATTGCTTTTGGAATGACATTTTTTATTTCAAAGGGTTTCGGTTTCAATTCTCATCGTGATGGCTGTGATGGTCCATGGGTGGTTGTTGTTGTTTCATTATTTGTTGTTGTTGTCCTTTTTCAAGAGTTAATTCCAAGTCTCCTGAGCAGTTACCACTGACCAGTAACTATAACTTAAGCTGTCCTTAACTACAATCAGACTTGGACCTTTCTTCCTTTATTCACTCAAACTCAAACTCATTCTTCTACTTCCACCGATAACTTATCATCATTTGACTTGTTATTCTTTTTCTTTCTTTCTTTCTTTCTTTCTCATGTCATCAGAACCAGATAATTCATCTTCTTATCTTCGTCACCATCGATCTATTGAAAATACATTCGAACATCACTCTCAAAGAAACATGACCACAGTTTCTTTCACGCCCTCAAATGGTGATACTCGTACGATCTCATCGTCAGTCTTCACATCAACTCTCTGTCCTACCAATCCCATCCAAGTCATCTTTGAGTATCTGTCTCAATTATTCACTTTGCCTGCTCTAGACCTCCTAATGGAGCCCCGATCATCATCGGTCGTGCTTCTAACCTCAAAACACTTCCGCTTCCTCACCCTAATCATCCGACAAGTCATAACTTGATCTTCAATTGTCCAGTCATGAGTAAGACTCATGCTGAGCTCACTTGGATACAACATCAGGTCTGTGATGTGATTTTCTGTGACACCAACTTGATCTCACATCTCTGAGATTTTGACTCTTGAAGCCTTTCATCAAAGATACTGGATCTACTCACGGTACTTGGGTCAAGAGCAATGGGTCACTCTTACGTCTCAAGCCTGATCGTCCCCACAAAGTAAAATTATTCTGTTTTATTATTCCTTTTCATCAATTCCCATTCGTGAGACTCATGACGATCTGCTTTTGTCTATATTAGCTCGAAAACGGGATGGCGATTCGATTCGGAAAGATCATTGGTACCGGTCCACAGAATGATCGTGAAAGACACTACCCGGTTGAAGTCACAGTGAAGATTTCCAAACCGAGTGGCACCTATGGCTTGACCGACCAGCTTTTGACTTCATCGGATGAGTTGTCAGAGAATGAAGCCGAAGAAGCAGGAAAAGACGATGAAGAAGAAGAAAAAAGTGCTATTGTTGACCCACAAATCGGATCTCATGAAGAGCTTGCCCTTCGTCGTCAATATCTTACTCACGATCATTCCGGTTCAGTCCATTCTCATTCTGATAGTGAAGAAGAAGTTTCTGAGGAGGAGGAAGAAAACTCACAAGACCAACGCGACAGTGAGTCTGGTGAGGCCGAGGAAGAGGAGGATGACGAGGATGAAGGCCGAAACGCCGAAGATAGCATGATCACAAACCCACTCTCTGAGCAGTTAACCGAGGATCATGTGGCTACTTTGGCTGGTGACGCTCACGAGGACACTGATCGATCTTCATCTGTGAATGAAGACAAACTTTTGATGGATGAGAGCCTTTATATGGCCGATCACCCGGTCGACATCGACTCCTCAAAATCTGAGTCTCACCACAGCAACATCTTGAGCGTTGTCGATCATGAACAAGATATCCAATCCGACCACTCAATTGTAGGAGTCGAAGCCAACGCTATCCACGGATCTCAACCGCACACTCTCCCACCCGATGACCAAAACATAGTCATCTCCGAGAGTCAGAAGATTGATGAAACGCAACTCATAGCGACTTTTGAACAACCTCCTTTATCCAATGCGCAATCTAAATCTACCGATCTTCCAGGACACGCAGACCCGGTAAATGTTAGCCTCTCAACCAGCCCGACGGATAGCAACGAATCCCGCACGGCATCTCAGCAGGCTGAGCGTACGCTTCCTCATTCACCACGTCCGATCATTCCGATCCGACGAATGCCTCGAGCTGAGGAGCAACTCCTCAATCCTCGATCTGTCGAAGAAAGATCTAAGATTTCGACTGGAATACAAACTGACCTCATGGCCAATGGTCAAATTCAAAAACCAACATCGGACGATGTCTTACGGCCTAGGATCCGATACCAATCAGATGGAACTTTTACTACTTTTGCTGTTGATTATCATATGACATCAATACGTTGCAAGAGAGGAAGAGAAGAAGACAAAGCACCGATGAAGACATCTGAAGATAGTGACGAAAAAACTGAGGATGAAGCAGTTGAGATTGCTCAAGAGAAAGAAGAAGTGGAAGTGGAAGTGGAAGAGGATCGTGTACCCAAGAGACGTAAATTGGCAGGTTTCATCCCATCTGTGAAATCATTGGCTATCTTTGCTCTAGGTGGTGTGGCTACTGTTGCTGGGATTTTAGCCTTTGAAGATATTTGAAGATCTATAATCGGTTGTTTGCAATATCGAAGGATTATCATTCAAATAGGGAAAATGAATTTGACTATATTTGTTGTACATGTAAAAAAAGCTCAAGGGTTCCATTTTTTCTTATCTGCATAGTTTTAAGCGTGTATGTGTCTTTGTTGTTGAGGGATGAAGTGCAATTAGTTTTGAATTGTTGTATTGTTCTAATTGTACGTGATCCGATGATTTTTTTTCTGGTTTATTGGTCTGACATATTAGACGAGATGAAGACTGATGTTTGAAATTCTATTCCACACATTCTCAAACATTGGATCAAGAGAAAGTTGCTATATCATTTTTTCAGTTGGTTTATATTTTTGTTATATTACTACATACATGATGTTGTGGGATTATTTGTTTGAAAGGAGATTTGGCATGTAAGAAAATATGATTTATGATTGAGCGTTGAGTTAAATAGCAGTAAGCAGAGAGGCACTGCCAAGACGCTGACACATGATACAGATGATACCTCCTTAACCAAATTGAAAGAATTTCAAGGAAGTGATTGCAAAGAGTATTATAAATCCATCAGCCCTGGTGCTGACCTGGGTAAATTATGTAATTCCAAACAGGCACAAATCACAGTCAAGTGGCTTGAAAAGGCTTTGTAGTCCCTCTTTGTTTAGTAAGTTGTAGAAGCCTAGAATCAAGTAGACCTTGTAAATTTCTTGAAAAGCCAATCAAGATGAAAAGAATTTGCAAAAACGGATGAAGTGCTGTTGTTTCCTTCAAGCAAGAGTAAGAAAAATTACCTTTAGATAGTATACACTGTCACCAATGATATTTCAAAAGACTTTCTAAAACATGTGTCAAAGATATTGGTAATTGTTGTTAAAAGTGTGGCTCCAAAAAATCATGTACAAAAGGTTGTACCTCTCATCAGGCAGGGGAAAACAATCTCCTCAGGAGAAAGACCATACACAAATATGTGACTGCATGTGCAACCTTGGGAAAAGCCATGATGAGGTGTGAATTTGTTTTAAACAATCTATCATAAAAAGTCAAGGGTTTGAAGATATGTGGGTGCACCAATTTCCTCCTTGGTGATGATTTTGAAAATATAGCAGGCCTTGCCCAGACGTTGCAGTCCATTGTTCTTGCTTCTTGCACATCACTCTCACTTGATCTAATGTTTTGTGATGCTAGAGAATGAAATGTGATTTGAGTTGAGCATGAGAATCAGAATGTACCATTGTAAGTTATAAATGGACAAAGATTGTGGCATATATTTCTTGCAGGGTTTTTTAGTGGATGATGAATACAATCTTCAGATGAGATGATTTTCCTGGACTCATTCTCACTCAATCCATCTCTTCTTATTCTTGTGCCAATATCTAACATTTTTGTTGTGCTGAAACATTTACAAGATAATATGAAACAGGTGATATATGATATGACATTTTAATTTGAAATTGAAATTGAATCACATTCCAAAAAACCATCCTACCTCAAAATTTGAGACCTGCTTTGTCTCATGTTTATGTCCTTCCTTTTCCAGTCTCCCAGGGCCGGACCTTTGAATACCTGGTTTCCATCACAAGCTCTTGACTTGCATTCACTCTTGTAAAGCTTTTTCTTACAGCCCTCAAAATTGTCAATCAAAGATTTAAGGAGCCAAAACCTAATGAAACTTTCCAATGGTGTGTGTCTTTTGAGATTACTATAAAATCTCAGGATTTCATCTATAATTTTAAGGCAATGTCCTGTAAAAAATGAGGTTATGAACACTCTGTTTTGCTGGAGGTCATGCTTTGCAAGCATCAATGTATGTGATCAACAAGGAATGACAATCAACCCTGTCAATTTGGATGATCAGCCACATTCCATAGGGCTAGATTCCCATCAAGCTGGTGGGGCCCTGATTTCACATCATTGCATGATACCATAATGCACAGGGTTTTGGGGGAAGGGATCACATGTTATCACTTTGCATGTTTTTTTCCATTACTGAATGCTGTTTTTGTGTGTTTGAAGTGTGGGATTTTCCTGAGTCATATTCTCTATCAGCATAGCTTTTATCTTAAAGTATGGTTTTGTTTTCACTCTGCTACTGCCGTTTAGTTCCAGAGAGTGGATCTTGATGATGGGATTAGATATCCCAAGGGCTAAAAATCAAGGAACAGATAGCTACTTTTGAAATGTCCACTTCCTGTTGAGGATTGATAATCAATCTGAAATACCAGGTTACTAGTCCTTCACTGGAGTATACTGCAACTCATGGCATGTATTGGTTGTTTAGATAACAGAAAGCTCAAATTGTGTGTTGGTATCAAATAGTACATTCCAAATGGTAGGTCTGGTTGGTTGAGACTCTGCGGGGTCCCAGTTTATAGCCTGGGTAACAAAGATGGTACTTGGACTAGATGGCAGAATCCCTGTGGAGGAATCACATTGCCCTAGTCACCATGCACCACCATCAAACATCTATCTCTGGTCATGGCACAACAACTGGGTTGGCCTTCTGGTTTATTCCGTTTCACTATGTCGGATTTTCATTGACTGTTGACAAGCACACATAATGCCCCTTTCCGCTGGTATGCTGATATTACTAAAATAAAAATCAAGGTGGGCCCTACCCACTACTCACTATGAGGAGACCCAAACCAAGTTCTGGGAAGTTGCTTCACTGGGACTAGACAGTTTGTGTGATCAGGATCCTATCTTCACCTATCCTTTTCCCAGTGGAGCTACCCTCACACAAGTAATATGGAGTAAGACCTTTCCTATCCATTTATTTAGGAGCTGACTCCATAAAGGGCTTCATGGAACATAAGGGGTGATTCTCTACTGAGTATCCATTGAAAAGGGTTCTGAAAAATTGTATCTCATCACACAAACCTCTACTACTCTGATCTCAAAGCTTCACCTGGCTGTAAAGCAGTTGATGGAATACTAATGGGTTGTAGGAACTCCTTTGAGGGGATAGTTTTAAATCTTGACACATGGTTTACACATGAGCTAAGGTTCAAATGCTGGACATAATCTTTTGCTCACACCAATCCTGCGTCACTTGAATCATGGACCTGCATTGTTCTTTTTAATTCACAGGACCCCAAAAGAACGTATTGAGAGTAAAACCACTATACCTACACAGTTTTTTCCAATGAGCCACAAGGCATCATAAGTTCTATTGAATGTATTGTCAAGGGATATTTTACATTAGACTCCACATGTCACATTTGAAAATAAGGAGGCTGAGTATTTACAAAAGCATGGATCCTATGTCACAGCTAGCTTCTGGTCACATAGGATATCTGTGGGTGTTGAGGATCAAGCTTTCAGATTGAATCTCATGAAAATATAAATTGATTCCACATGTTTGCCTACAATTCTAAATCTCGAATATATTTAAGCATAATGGTAAATCATAAATCTCGTAACCCAAGTGATGTTTCACATTTTTGATCAGTGTTAATGATTACAGAGTGAGCACTTGAATTTGTGGTTTGTGAAGTAATTCTCAATCCACTTCTCTAAACCCCAAACTTTCTTTCCCATAAGGTCAAAATATTCTTTGAACATATGTGACCTTTCTCTCAAATCATGGGGCAGATCTTGAGACCATCTTCCAATATAGCCTCTTGCTATCAAGTGGTGTTCCATTTGATGTCTCTGGCTCTGAAACAATATGTTCAAATAATGGACCTTGTGAATCTCAAGACCAACATGAGTTGCAACCAGGATTTCCCCTAACTTAAGTCCATGAGATATTATTGGGTGTCTAGACAGAACTTTCTCACATTTCTGTACATCTGGACGATTGGCCAGCATAGCTAATTCTTTGAGACGAGATATGACCAGTGATGAGATCCAACTACTTGGGCATGTTAAATAGAGATTGGTATATTCTTCACCCCATTTGTTTTCAAATAATTGAATAGTTTCATTGTTAGGAAGAGTGAACTTTCCCTTCATAATGTGTATCAACTCATTAACCTTTTCTGAAATCTCTTCTGCAAGTAGTGAACCTCAGTTTGTTTTCTTTGATGATAATTCCAGAACAGTGGCAAAACGGACAAGTACTGGTAAGCATACCCCTTGCATGACTGCCCCTTCATTTATGACCCTATCTACAATGCTTGAGCTTTGACCCAACTTTTTGGAAGACATCAAGTAAAATGTAGCAAGTCTCTTTTCAAACTTTTCTTCAAAAATCCACTGAAGTTTTCTGTACTGGTCAGGTTCCTGTTTTACTATTGATATCTCATGTAAGAGTATGTCCCAATCTTTGACCTTTTTATTTTTGAATAATGCCCATGGCTCCTCAATGTCCAACATTCTACAAACTTTTTGAATGGGATCAGATAGATGATCTTTAAATGTGGACCATTTTTTTGATATGCACCATTCATCATAAATTTGAACCAATGCACTGGTTCTCATGCATCCCTCATGCAAGTCCCTGAAGCCTACTTGATATCTTTGAAGTATCTCCCCCATCATTCCTTGAAGCCCAGTAACAAGTTTTCCTAAGTACCTAAGAGCAGCCATATTCAAATCCATCCTCAACCCAGTTTGTTGGTTGTCTGAACGTAGAACTTTGTTCATAAATTCACATGCACATAATTCTGAATAGTCTTGTTCTTCTTCAGAATTTATTCCATCAGTAACATCCAATAAGGTTGATGGTTTTGATGATTCTAGGCTTTCTACATTTCCACCTTTAGCAACATGACAAATTTTTGGTCCTTTTTTATGTTTACTTCCTTTCTTATGCTTCTTGTAATCCTTTTTGGTAATCTTCGGGGACTCTTTAACAATTGGGATTTTAAAATCATTCTGGCTTTGGGTTTCACTTAACCCTGATATCCCAATTTCTTGCTCCTTTTCATTGGGTGTCTTACCAAGATCTTGTGACCTATCCTTCACAGTGGGTACCATGCTCATCAAGGTAGAATTAACTTCATCATCAGTTCCTATGTGACTTTGAGGAATCTCATCTTTGGTGTAGAAATACTGTTCAGAAATCTCTGAAAACTTGTTCTTGGTGGTAGGAATTTTGTTGTCCATCTCATGGGGAATGGGAACTTCCCAAGTGGGAGTACTAACAGCCTTCCAATTATCTGAGTTCCTGGAGTCCTTTTTGGCTTCATCTTTTTCCAAGTCTATTTCTATTCCCTTTAAATCAGATCCATCACCATGCAAAGGGAGAATTTCAGTGAGCGGACGCAATATTGTTGGTTTTCCTTTGAGCTTGCTCCGCTGTGCATCTTGCAAACCTTTCGAGTTCACTTTGGAACCTGATGTTGGCAATGCAGACTTGATTATGGGAGGTCTGATAAATCCTTTTCCGTTGTCTTGTAATGACCTGGACTCATCTATAAGTTTATTGTTGTTATCTCCTGTAATACTCTTGTGCGAAGTCGTTCTTCTCGGATCTTTGGCTGACTCTATATTCTTTCCAGCGTTGGGTGGTTGAGCTTGGTGATTTTGCGCCAGCTTCCGGAGTTCTCCTTGCGCATCGCCATCACTCTCAGGGGTCGCATCAGCTTGTGGAAGAGTATTATATCTCTTACCATTATATTTAACTTTGACATTCCTCTGCACCTGGTCTTTTGCAGGTAGATCAAAAATAAGTATACTAGCAACCAATTTCTCTCGTTCGGTGGTCGGACTGGTATACGTAATCTCGCTTGCATGCTTTTCATCTTTGGTCAGTGACGACGCAGACGCGATACTTGGCTTCAAACCTTCGGCTTGGATCTTGGTCTCGCGGAATGTTTTGACCTCTACGGGAGAAGAATTGGGAGGTAGATGATCGTGGAGTGAGCTCTTTCCATCAGGAAGCTCAGTCAGCTGCTTTTCATACACATCAAATTGCGGCGAGAAGGTATTACTAGACGGTTTTTGTGGTGGAGTGAAGCAATCCCTGGAGTCGAATTAGAGTATCAAAGGATTATCCGGATATATCAATCAAGAGCAATCTGGCACATACCTTTCTCCCTTGTCTTGCAGAGGTTCTTCTGCTGTTTCAGGTCCTCTTCCGTTGAGCCTTGTGCCAGCAAAATCATACCCCGACTGCTGGATAATATCGTCAATAGATGAGTGAAAGAACGAAACGTCTCCAGCACTTCCTGAGTCAAAGATTCGTCTTCTTGGTGATGTCTGGGAAAATATTGAGGGACTTCGCCATACATTGTACCCCGGACCTTCTTGTCCTTTAATATGGCCAACGGTCGTCTCAATTCTCTCGAGAGCCATGCAGCGCAAACAAGAACTTAATGAATATAAAAGCAAAATAAGTGGGGATAATGATAGTGTATGCATGGCGTCTAAATTTTCGTGAGCAGCTTCGTTTGACGGCAATCTTTTGGAGTTCACTAGGTAGTGATTTAAATGAATCGATTTTCGCTCTCATTCAAAAGAATCAAACAACACTCGACCTTAAAAGGATTGAGATTTCTGCGAGGCTCGCATTCATGAGCGCAAGCAATGCGCAACTGGTAGGTGTTTCAATTGATGCGATGTCGATAAACTTTCCTGACAAAACAAGTTACTATTCGCATGCTCTACTATTGAGTTCATCTCAAAGTTTGTAACTTTTGTGGGCCACGATTTAACTTGACTGCAGCCGTTCTCATAAAGGTTGCTTTTTTGAAATTCAATTTTCGGCCGTGGAGACAAACTTAACACCGTTGAGAGCGGTTGAGTTTGGATTATTCACCGTGTAACAGGAGGGAACACTTGAGGATCCGGGTTTTTTTCCTGATAATTCCTGAGAATCTGATAATGATAAAATTCTGATAATACAGCGTACAGTGGCCCCGTTAAAAGCATTTCTAGAGCTTAGTAATAGCATATTAAATACTACAGCCGTTAAAGGATTAAACGGCAGAATTCTTTGTCTGTGTGATGCACCCGAAGTAAAATCTGAGAGCCCAAAACTAGATTAAACCTGGTTTTGGACACAATTCAACAATGTCTTTGTAGTTTTCCGCAGGAGGCACGACGTAGGTAGGCGGTGTCCACGCTGACGGGTAGCGCATTAAAATGTGCCTCGGCGGAACTCAATCCAGAAACAGATGTACACATAGTTAAGACCAAGGGTCTTGTAGGAACTACCTTAGAACTAACAAGAAAATACAACAGTAGTTATGCCCCGAATCATGAAGGGTCCGAAGTTCCTAGCTAGGTAATTTTCTTTACGATGTAGGCATCGTCGACACCGAGTGGATTGAGTTCTAAAAGAGGCCAACGGATGAGGGAATAAACATTGTCCCTCATCCGTTATTCCACTTGAACTTTTCTGTTATCCAATTTTCTCTTATCGATAAAAATCTTCATATAGCTTCTACCAGTATTTTGATCATACCAACAATTGCTCAGTTTTGTCATCAAAACCTTTTTGAAGAAAATTTTATCGACTTCTTTTTAAAAATTGTAAAAAGGCCGCTTTTTTCCTGCGTATTGTGATCTACCTCCATTTCTCCGCTTGTCCACACGTTTTTTAAAAAAATCATTTTTCGAACGTCTAAAATACATAACAAGGAATAACCTTTTGTCTAAATCAATCAAGAAATTTCCAACCTTCCGTAAAAGCGTCAAAGCCAAAAAGGAGAAATGTCATCGATCAACATTGAAAACGCAGCTGCACGTATCAACGCGCTAAGCTCATCAACTGAAAACACGACTAGAGCAGACGCCACCTCAATAGACGCGGTCATAGAGACAGGAGTGTCAAACCACCAAGCGCTAGCGCAAAAGCAAGTAACGGGTCCAAGTTACAACAAACAATCATTGATCTCCAGTTACCTCACTAGAAGCAAAGGTAAGCATGTTTTTGCTTAACCGATCTATTCTGACAAAAGCGATCTTAACTTTAAGAGTAACTCACAGTCAAGAAAATAAAAGTAGATCACTGATATTGATCTCACGCTTCTGACCACACAGATAACACAAACCACCCTAGTCAACAACGTGGAGCAGATACGTCTAAAGACCAAAATAACAGTAAGCGACTTATACTCGCCAATAACAGTGACAGTACCACTGACAAACATCTGTTGAAACGTTACAAAAAACCCCTTTTACTTTGGCTAACTAGGTGTACCCAAAGAGAATAACCAACAAGTTGGACAAAAAGGAACAGACAAACGCTCCGAAATTGGTAAGCATTATCAATAAGCCTTAACGCATGTAAGAGAGAATCTTGACGGAGATATTCCACACCCCTCTTTAATTCAGGCCCAAATAACGACCAACATGGGGTTATCAAATCCAAAAATAACCCAATTCCAAATGACTCGGGGAAACAAAGTGGGAAAGTTATAACGATAGACGACTGTATAACTTCAACGGAAAACAGGTACCTCGAAGAGTTCAGGGGAACTACCATCCTGCCTAAAATCAAGAAGAACGTGCCCCAAATGAGCGAGGAAGAAAGAAAGGCAAAACTAGAAGAGTATCAAATCAGACTGGCCGAGCACAATAAACTGCTCAAACAGTCAGCCGAATTAGCTGGCATTCCATTTGAAGAGGATACCCCACCTACCTCTAACGATCCTTCCACCGCCCTTCCAAGCTGCTCTTTTGAAGAGGGAGGCCTATCTTTCGATTTCAGCAAGGCAGCTGACGCCAACGCCATAGGCCTACCACTTTTCTTTCACAAAAACATGCAAATCTTGCAAGGTTCACTACCACTCCCGATATTCAACAAGGACTGGCAGAAAGCAGCATCAGACAACCATACCGATTATAAGAAAAGTGACAAAGAGGTCGAAAAATATCGAGGACACCCTTACCCAGGAGAGTGGTCCCAATCTCGTTTTGAATGGAACAAAAATTTCGATACTCTGATTGATATGGTCAGAAAAACATACAAGTACTCAACTTTCGCCAATGCTCTGGAAGTCCATAAAAGAAACGTAATCAGGATCTACAAGGATCACAGGTCTTGGGTCATCGCATTTTGATACGATTTAACGATAAGAAAAGCGACTTTTGCAGTCAGGAACCCAAACGAAAAAGTGCCGAATCCATCTCTAGAACCATGCGGTCTTGTAGATGAAATCTATTATTCAGCTAGAGCCCAAGGTGACCTCAACCTAGACGACAACCCCTACAGAAAGGGAGGCCCCAAGTACGGTCGAAATCCCTATGTCGATACCAAGACTGATCCAACGCCATCCCAGCCTTATCAGGATAGCTCTGTAGCAGGCCCATCCAGATCTTATAACTCTGGAAGGACTCAATCGAAGAACCAAGGCCCTTATGGTAATTATAGAGGAAAGAATTTCAATCCAAGCTACAAAAGACCAGAAGGAAATAGGTCAGACAATTTCAAAGGAAAAGGAAGGGAGAAAGCGTAGGTTTACTCTTACTATGGTTTTTTGTTAACAAACACCCCTCCTTTTTTGTTGTTTAGAGAATCCTTATGAAATTGTTTTTTCTCCGTTTTTGTTCCTTACCCTTTTTGTATACACTCATTTTTTGATGTGACGAAATAAACACCACACTCTTTCAACCTAAAAAGATTCCACCGTGCCATTTCCGAAAGCTCGTACATCTCTTCCAATGATTTGTTTATACTTTCGCTAGAAAACTCTGAACCCAAGTTGAAAATCAAAGAAGACAACATCAGATATCTCTCAGAAGATCTCTGGCCAACAAAAGTCACGTGTGAGATGAATATCCCAGAATGGGAGAAGGCCCTTCAGTCAGCAGGTATCTTAGATGAGTATTCAGATGTGATTTACGGTTTTACTCACGGTTTTGACCAGGGGATACCGTACCATTGTTTTGAGTATTGCAAATGGTATACCCCCCCGAATCACAGTTCCGCCGCTTTAGCCAAAGAAAAGATAATCAAGAGTATGCAAAAAGAAAAAGACCTAGGAAGAATCTTCGGGCCTTTTACCCATGAAGAGGTGTACAAGAGATGCGGATTTTTCAGAACCAACCCAATGGGGGCAGTGGTCAACGGCGATGGTTCGATCAGGCCAATCAATGACCTTTCCTTCCCGCGGAACAACCCAGACATCCCTTCCCTGAACTCATTTGCGAACACAGACGATTTCAAAACCACTTGGGACGACTTCTCAACCGTCTCACAATACTTTAGGAAGATAACGGTTCCATTCCTCATGGCCATCTTTGATTGGGAAAAGGCTTATCGCCAGATCCCAACCATGCTACATCAACGACAGTACATGATGATTTTGGCTCCAGATGGAAGCATCTATTACGATAGCCGAATAGGTTTCGGAGGAGTTGGCGGATGTGGCTCTTTTGGAAGACCTGCAGACGGGTGGAAACTGATCATAAAGAACGAGTTCGACCTCATGGAGATTTTCCGATGGGTCGACGATGCTCTTTTCATAAAAGAGATGAAGTCTGAAGTTACGATGCCAGATGTAGTGGCTAGGAGTCTAGAACTTGGAGTCATCACCAACGAAGAAAAATCTCAGATTTCAAACCGCAACAAAAGTTACAGGTTTTATACTTTTGTATTAAATCTCGGTGCGACACAAATTTGTATTTTTATGCCTTTTATATATTTAGTAGCTGTATGTAAAAGTCTGTGCTAAAGTCAGAAACCTTAGCGTTAGGTCATCACGTGTGCATGTCACTCACCTGTCCCACTTTCCCCACATTCCTTACACCTCCAGAGTTTCATCTCGAATTTTTTTACCACCACCACGCGATCCCAAAAAACCCTGTTTACACCACAGACGAACCCACACCACGACCATGGATATCAATATTCAATCCAGAGCTCCCTTTTCCTTTTCTCTGACCACCAAACCACACTGCATTCCGACTATGGACACAAAAACTGTGATCCCTGACCTATTCACGACCTGTCCACCCTCTCTCATTCGATTTTGATTTAACACTCTAGTAAGCATTATGATTGAGTATTCATTTGCTTCTGATCCGCCACCTTCATAAACTATTCATCCGCGTTCTGGCTTCAACTAACACTCAGTCACATTCATCTTTTGATCCCGTCACTATGATTTTAGTTTTTGGTCACTCTTGATCTGGGTTCTTTGACCACACAGTTATCATCGTTTGATCAATTACCATCAGCAAGTACTGTCAGTTGTTTTTCCGATTAGGTTGAATAGCTACCATTCAACATGTGGTCCCAAGGCGCATGCTGGCACCAAATCTTCATTTTGAAACGCAGGAAGGTTTTGGCTTGATCATGTATGGAGATCTTGAGCATCTCTTTGAAATGGTAGACTTAGGTATGATAG